TTGATCAATTGACTTGTTTCAAATCTGCTCACAAATTGTGATTCCCAAATGAATTAATTTTTAATGATTAATGTTGATTACTAATTAATTATTTAGGTTTACATGTTTACTATTATATGTACTTAGAGATTAATTAATTAATTTGATTAGTGTGATCATGTTTGATCAATCAAGTTGATTCATTGTCATCAATGTTGAAAATGATTATTGTAATCAGTTGATTAAATTGTTTGGTTATCTGTTTAATTTCAAAGTTTTAAACCAATTCAAAGCAATTGAATGAACAGGAAAATCAAATGAAAATCTATTAATCAAATTGTTGAATTATCAAATGATAATCATAATGTTTTGTTTTGCTGGTCAATGGTCAAGCTTAAGGTGTAATAATAATTGACCGTTCATGGTTTGAAAATTGATTGAATCATCATCATGAATAATCAATTGATCATCAATTGATATGATATTAACCATGAACAATTTAATCATGACATTTATCTGTTAATATTATTGATTCAATTTCAATGAAAGAAGATGAAACGAAAAATAAACTTTCAGAATTTAAAATGTTACCATGAAAATTTCAATCTTTTCCAGATAATAACTTGATCATCATGTAACTTTGATAACTAATCAACTGTGAAAATTGATTATTAACAATTTAAAGATCACAATTAGTCAACCTTTCGGTAAATTTCTCGTCTCTAATCAACAACAATTAACCTAATGATTATCTACTGAATTGTTTCAATCTCTCTCCTCTCAAGTGAAGCTTAAAAAAAATATTGTTCACAAAATGGAATCAAAACTTTTGCTATTCCAGTTCAATTTCCTCTTAATAATATACTGACCACTACTCCATCAACAACTGACCATTTATCTTTCACCTTTCAATGTATTGTGATATATATTGATTGTTTTTGCTACTATAACTTAATTGTCGCCGAAACAACAAAAGTAAAATTAATGACCAAGTGTAACAATTTACTTGATCTCCAATTGATTGTTAACAATTGTTGTATTATTATTATTAATCAAACTAATAATTTCTAATCATATCCGGTTATTGAAATCGTATAATCAAAACAATTAGAGAGTAACGATTGTTTTTCATTTTTGTAACAATTTAGAAATTGCGAATAGTAATAATTTTGATAGAGAAAAATTATCAGAACGTAACCATGGAAACCAAAATTCAATGATGATGAGACTGATGAGGAAGATGAAGATAAAGGTGATGATGATGATGATCAATTAGAAGGAGAAATATTTTCTTTACAATTTTCCAAATTCGTGTTGAGATGAACATGGAACTAGTTTCATTGGAAGATAAAAGAAGATGATAATTTTCTTGTCATCCTCATCCTCTCATTTTAGCACCAAATTAAAATGGTGTTGATAAGGTAAGAGAGAGAGAGAGAGAGAGAGAGAGAGAGAGATGATGATGAAAAGAACTTTTTTTTCTTCTTTTTTTCGAAAACTTTTTTTCTCTTCTCAACTTATCTCCTTCCTCTCTCACCTTAGGTTTGTCTCTTGATGGTGATGATGATGATGATGGTAGATGTTGATAGTAAATTGTAATTGCACACATTACACTTTAATTAGTTTTGAAGTGCAAAGAATCAAGTTAAAATCATCAATATGAAAAACCAATTATCTTGATCAAAACCCAACAATTATCATTTGTAACAATCAAGGTGAGCATCAGTTTCCTCACCTTAATCATGATTGTAACCAATACCCTGGGTAAAAGTGTGTGTGTATTTGATTGCAATAGATTTTAAATTGTTTTAAATTGTGAAGGATAAGAAAATAAAATCAAAATCAAAATCTAAAAGATTCTAATCAATGATTAATTTGATTGCTGGAAAACTTTCAAATCAAAGTTAATCAAACTTTCATCTTTAATCATTTTGTCACTTATTTAGCTTTTTTAATTTAACTGTTGTGTTGTAAATGGCGTTAATTACATGGATTAATAGTGTAATCGTTAATAGTAGTTAGTTAATTGTTGACCATTTCAAATTGATGATGTTTATCCAATGATCATCACACACAGTTAACAAATTATTATATTAATCTATTAATTGATCATCTGTTTATTTACTAAATCAACTAATTGAATCTAACAATTAATCACCAAACCTAAGGGGAGGTTTTGATGTTTCTTAAATTGTTACCATTAAACCACAATTAAAGTTTACACTGATTTTGGGGAAAATTTGTCTTAACTTGATTGCAATTAAAACAATTTAGCGAAAATAATTTTCTTCGCAAATTAAACTAATTAGTTTGACACTTAATTTAGTTTCATAAAGTTTAATTTTTTTTCCGTAATCATCCTGGTGGTAATGATTAACTTAATTGTCTCACTAACAGTTTTAATCATTGATGAAGGATATTGATAATGTTGCTTTTTTGTTGCAACAATCAGAAATGATAAGAGTTTAATTGCTTATTAACTGTTGAAAATCAATTGATTAAAAAGGTTGATATAACAATTTAAAACCTTTCCAAATCAAATTTCATTGACCAATCATCATAATTAGTGATTAAATTAAGGTTTGATTGTTGCATCTTTAAGGTAACCTGATTAAAGACAACAATTAAGATTTAAATGTAATGGAGAGAGAGTGATTAAAATTAATTGTTGTCTGTAAATGTTGTTTAATTAATCCGGTTTTAAATCATCCAAATGATATTAATTTGAATGATCAATTTTTGCTAACCATTAACAATTAAGTTTTACTTGAAGCAATTAAAGATAATTAGTTTTAGTTATTATTCATGATTAATTTTCAAAAGTAAAAAAAAAGTTAATGGTCAACAATCAAGTTAAATATTCACAATCAACAATTTACAATCTAATCATTGATATAATCATCTCGTACTTATGTTAATTAGTGTTGATGGTAAATGATTAGTATTTAGTATCAATGATAATTTAAGTGTAATTATTGTTAATGGTGAGACAGTTGATTAACTTGGTTGACCAAATCATCTTTGGTCATCTCTTTGTGGTCCTAATTATACCTGAAAGTACTGGTCACTTTAAAGAGATCAATAGTCCGAAAGGTAAATTGTTAAGTGCTGATAATAAACTGTAATAGAGAAAAACTTTTTTTCTCGAATTTGTAAAAACCAAGAAAAAAAAAGTTCTAATCATAAGTTTTACTCGAGAAAAGGAAAACGTCTCAAGGTGTTTGTTAACTAACAATTAAGATAATTGTTATTTAGATATTATCATTAACTGGTTTTTAATTCCAATCGAAATTAAATTTAATTGTTAACAATCATAATTTACAATTGAAACAAAGTTAAGTTTCTGATTGAAAACAATTGAAGTTGATTATTAATTTTGATCAAGGTGTTCAACATAAATTATTGATGGTTAATCATCATCATGCTAATCATAATCATCACAATAATCATAATCATAATCATAATTTAAGTTGATAAGTTTTACTTTGTGTTAAATTGTTCAAACAATCAAATTTGAATAGTTTACTATTTAAATAATGATTGTTTTTCAACAACAATTAGATTGAGATTCAATTTTTTCATGATAAATGAAACTCAACCTTTTTGAATTAACTTTTACCAGATTAACATGATGATTATCATGATAACAATCATGATGATCATCATTAATATTACCTATAAGCTTAATACATTGTTTTATATTTGATAATCATTATCATGATGATGATGATGATTATAACTAAAAAACAGGTTCACCTTTGATTCTTTATGAGTAAATGTATTTTCTGGTTTATCATCATCATCATAATAATAATTATGATTATTGAATTTACCTTTTTATAGGTTAGATCATGACGATGATGATGATGATGATGAGGATGAGGATGATGAGAGTCCAAGTCACACCCAAGTTGATGAGGAAAAACAAAGTGACCAACATGAAATGAAAACCAAACCTGTAACCAGATTTATAATTATGCAAATCAAGTATCATCATTAACATCATCAATTTACATCTCTCTGGTTATTAACATTTATACTTGAGCTTTTAAATTATAATGATTAACTTAATTGTTGGTTGTTCAATTGATGATAATGATAACTATTAAATCAACAGGATCAATCAAATTAGTATCACATTATTTTGATATAAACTTTTTTGTTTGTATGAGTTTAATATGATCAATATAAATGATGAGAAACAAAAAATTGATATCAAATTGTTTAAGTTGTGAGGATGATAAAGTTTATCATGCTCACTTAAATGGGAAAATGATGAGGATGAGGATGAAGATGAGGATGAGGATGGAGATGATAAAAGGTATAAATTGTCAAAGTTGATAAAATGTCAGGGATGATGAAGAAGATGAAAATTATTGGAAAAAGATTTAAATGTTTTCATCGATAATATTTAAGATGATGATCATCATCATCTTTCAATGATGATTAAGATGATAAGGATGATAAAGATGATTTAAAAGATGAATAAGATAAGGATGAAGATGAAGATGATGATGATGATTTAATTCAAAGTGATGGGTTAACCTGTCATCTCCATTGGAAAGGTAGATAAATTTGGAAAATTTTCCCTCCATAATTTTGATTCTCTCGCAATTAGTTGATTATCATAATTACCGTCTTTCCAATCAATCTGATTAACTTAATCAACTTGTACTTATCTGTTTGTGTGTGTGGATATATAATTAAGTGTATTTATGTAACTGAATTAATTAGATTGGTATTCCTTTCATACGGGTTAGTGGTTGATGATTAGTTTTGATTGTTGCTGTTTAATAAATTGTTGTGGTCACATTAGAGGTAAATTGTTTCACTAATTGTCACTTTTCAACCATCATGATGATAATTTTGTTATTATATTTGCAATTTTAATTTTTGCAATTGTTAACAATTTAAATCTAACCTTAGAGTCCATCCTTTTAACCTTAACTTGATATTTAACCGTTAATTGTTGTTAACTTAATTGTTCCCGATCAATTGATTATATATGAAACAAAAAGTATGTATAAGTTTTTTAATTTGTGTTTAATTTTTAATTGTTGTTTTTTGTTTTTGTTTGTCACTGACTGTTTTCAGTTTTGTTGATAACATTGGATAACAATTAACTAATTGTTGGAATAAATATTGTTGATGATTAAATTGATTGTTTTATTGGAGGAACAAAGCACCGTTTCTAATTGTTTATGATTAAAATTGATTATTTGAATAAAAAGTTGTTATTTAAGGGTAAAAGGAACATTAATTGAAAAGTTAATTGTTGATGATTTTAGATGATGATGATTAAATACAGACTAGAGTTGATGGCGATTACTTTTAATCCAAAGGATGAGGATGATAACTCGGAAACGAAAGCGGAAGCGGAAATGATGAGGGTTAACAAGGTGATAACTTTACTTTTCGAGCAAGTGAAAGTTTTGAATATGGAATTTTTTTCATTAATTTTAATTGTTTTCATTTAGGATTTAGGATTAACTAATATTAAAGGTTTAAGATGTTGATGGTGGTGAGTGGAAGGTGGTTTACTTAACAAATTTGTGAGACCATAGATGAAGGTGGTTGAAGGTATTCCGACATTGGATTACCACATCCTAAGAGTGCTAAATGTGATGCTGTGGCGGCGGAAAGTGTATGATGAGAGGAATCAGATGATGACGATGTCGATGAACTTGCTCCACCACCGCTGGTTCCTCCGTTACTGTTGGTGTTTGTTAATCCATTGGTTGATCCTCCACCACCATCTCCTCCTGAGGATGCGGATGCTGCTGCTGCTGCGGCGGCGGCAGCAGCCACCGATGACCATGGTTGCAGATTTTTCAATGCATTCAAAGGTAAACTGGACAGGTAGGCGGCGGTTGCGGCTGCAGCGTGATTGGTTGATTTACCTGGAGAGGAAGATGAGGTTGATGATATTGAAACGGAAGCGGAAGAAGATGCTGAGCTTACAGAGGATGAGGTTGAATGAGTGGTAGAAACTGGAGTTGTGGTCATTAGATGATGATGATGTTGTGGATGATGGTGAAGCGGATGAGGATGATGTATTTGATGATGAGGATGATGATGCATATGTGGATGAAGTGAATGGTGATGGTGATGAGGATGAGTTGATAAAAGACCAAGAGATGAACCATCGGGACCATTGAAACCACCATAGAAACTTGTCTTTGATCCTCCACTACCAACAGAGCCTCCAACACTATTACCGCTCCCACCGTTACCACCATTACCACCACCACCTCCACCACCAGGACCACCGCCAACCGAAGCAGCTTCAGCGTGGAAAGACATCAACAGCCGATTAGCGGCTTGACGTTCAGCCTCCTTTTCCTCTGCTGTTTGTCGCCTATGGAAGATACAATAAAAAAAGAAGCACAAAAAGATGATAAAAGATGATAAAAAGATGATGATGATGATAAACAGGAGGAGTGGAAACAACTACACATAATTACACACACACTCCTACATCAAGTCAACAGTCAGAATCAATAAAATATCAACAGAGCAAAAAAAAATAAAATCATCGTCAAGGGAAAACTTTTACTAACTGGAAACATTTACCATGGACCTTTAAATATTGATAAAAATACTCACGGTGAATATTGATCAATATCAGTGGTAATTATCATAAACTGTTATTTAATCATGATGAACAATTAAAAATTGATTATCTTCATTATCATCATCAACCATAAAGACACACACACACTTAACTACTTATGCAACTTTGAAAGTCTTTGTGAGCCTCGAGTTTGTGTTTGATAAAACTATTATCCAGAGGAAAAAAAATGTACCGTTGGGAATAAAAATGTCATCATTTGATTATTATCATCATCATCATCATCATCATCGTCATCTGTATCTCAATCCTCCTTTTATCCTCATCTTTCACAAGTGAGTGAGGATTAACATTGGATTTAGACAAAAACAAAATTTTCTTTCAAAAAACAATAACATTGTTTTAATAATAAACCTTTTGGTTTATCACTAACAGCGATTTCATCATCATCATCTTCATCATCATCTTCGTCTTCATTATCATTATCATCTTCTTCATTGTCATCTTCCTACCTGTACAACTTGATGGCCATAATTGTGAGTCTTTCGCTCACTGTTATTAACTGATTGTTACTTTTACTCCAACAAATTGATATTTTGTTTCTCTCATCATAATAATAGGGTAGCAATTGATTATTGTCATGAAGATGAAGATGAAGATGATGATGAAGATGATGATGATGATGATGATGATGATTAGGATGAGGATGAGGACTTAAGCCTCAACTGATCATCTTAAGCCTTTTACAATTTGTTGCTGCTCTTTAATCATCACAATCATAATCAACCATAATAATAATCATGTTTGTGTGACTTTGGAGACGACAAAGTTATTAACTTTACTTAAATTGTTACTATTAAGGTAACAATTTAAATAAACCAGGGGAATTAACTAAATCATCTGTCTGTCTGCTAAATGCTTGGTACCTTAATTGTTGCAACATAAAAAAGTAAAACAATTTAATTAATCATTGATTGTTTTCTGTTGCAAGAATAATAATCAATTTTTATATTGATTTAATTTGATTGTAACAATTTTTTTTTTGCTTCCTTCATTGATTGTTATTAACATCTAGTGATTGAGTGATAATTTGATTAAATTGTTAGCATGTTGATTTAATTAAGTTGAACAACTTTTTTTTTCATGATTTTATGCCTGAGGCAATTTTTCTGACTATTTGATTGCTGTTGATTGTCACAATTCAATAGTTTGTTAATCATTTGATTGACTAACTATCAATTCAATTATTTTAATAATCATTAATATTAATTATTATTATTATTGTTTTTGATAATTAATATTATCCTCAAGCAATTGGACAATTAAAATATAAAGTTAATTCAAATGGTTTATAATTTGATCGTTAAATTGATAATTAGTTGATTATGATATTAATTAAGGAAGAGAATTGATTCTTTGACTTTGTTTAATTATTTTCTACTGTTACTAATTGATGGTAATCTAATCAATTAAGATTAATCATCTTACCTCCATTTTGTCCGACGATTTTGAAACCATGTTTTGACCTGAGCATCGGTCATTTTCAACGATTTAGCTAAGGTCGCCCGTTCGGCTGAGGCCAAATACTTTTGCTTCTGGAAACGTTTCTCTAGTTCGTTAATTTGAATTCGAGTGAATGAAGTTCGAGGTTTTTTTCGCTTAGGTGGGGTTCGATTCTGATACGGATGACCTATTCTTCGAGGTGGAAGTGGGGGTAATCCGTGGACTAATGGAAGCGATACTAAATTGAGTTCGAAAAGAGAGAGAAATATAAAATAATCTTCGATTAGTTATCGAAAACGAAATGAAATTGAAGAAAAAAAAAGAACTTTTTGTCTTTCGAAATCCAAATGTTCGAACAATTTTTTTCTCGATTTAATTATCGATAATTACTCACTCGTTGTTGGTCCACCGTTGATATTAGTTAGTGACACTGAATTTAGATCACCTGATTTAGAGTTGGTGCCATTGTGATTAACTTGATTGTTTGAATCAAAATGATAAGATGATGATAAGGAGGATGAACTAATCCTTGGTGAATCTGAATCATTTAAATGATTAACTGATGATGATAAATGATGAGGATGATATCCAAGGTGAGGATGAGGATGAAGTTGATCAAATTTAATTGCTCCCGAAGATTGTAAATGACTATAATTGTCAGGGTGATGAGGATGATTAAGAAATGATCTGAAAGCGCCTTCATAAAGCATAACATTCATTGAACGAACCAAATTACTTTGATGATTAGAATGATGATTAAGATGATTAAGTTGATGATCGGTTGTTGTATTAACAGATGATGATCGAGATGATGATCCACCGGCACCATTATTATTATCATCATCATCTTGATCAATATCATCATCATCAGAATTATCTGAATGATCTGAATTCATATTTTCATTGATTGGTGATGGTGAACGATTATGATGATGATGATTAACATGATTGTTATTATGATTATTATTGTTATCCAAATTGTTTGGTTTACTTTTTGATTGATTAATTAACTTATCAATTCCAAATGACAACTCTTTCTTACCATTATCACATTTAATTAACGATGAAGGTGTTGAATTTATTGAGTTAATTGTTGTTGTTGTTGTTGTGGTTGTTATACTTGATGATGATGATGATTTGTTAATCACTTTATTTTCATTATTAACACAATCATGATTAGTAATTGTGATTGTTGTATCTGATGAAGATGCATCAGAATCAATATGAGATGAAGTTGACATGATTAATATCCGTTAATTGTCACCAATTGTTGAAAGAAATTACAACCAATTTATCAACAGTTTTTTAAACTCGAAAATTTAGTTGATTGTTGAAAGTTTCACAAAGAAATCAATTTAAATGGTCAAATCTAATCAAGGGATTTTCTTTATTTTTTAACAAACTTTTTCTCAACTCTCACTTAGTCGACATTCACTTTACAACTGATTAGAACTCATATTAGAACTTGAAATCCTATAACTCGAAGATCAACTTTATCACCCTCCCTCCTTTTCCCACTCCCTTACCTCTAGAGAGAGAGAGAGAGAGAGAGAGAGAGAGAGAGAGAGAGAGAGGATTCTAAGCTTCGGTGGGAGGAGGAAATTCAAGTCTATCTGCTTTGATTGTATACGAAATTGAAGGTTGGACCTAAAAAGTAATAATAATAAGTTAGAACTCGATTAGAACTGCGCAGTTCGAATTCAATTGTCATTTTTTTTGTTGTTATTCTTTTCTCCTAAAAGTCTATTCAAATTCTTCCGCAATTATTTACTCAGCTAATTGGAGAAAATTATTCTTACCCTTTGAATAATTTACTCTTTTTAAATTACAAGAACTTTAAAAGTTCTTAATTGTTTACGAATTCTCTTTGTTTCCATGTTATTAACCAGTTTTCCAATGAAATTTTGGCTAATACTTGGTAATCAATCAAGTTGATTAAGAGAAAAATTTTCCATTCTAATGAAATAAATTTTCTTCTCTACTTTTTGCTTGCGGATTAATTTTATTAATTGATTAACTTTTATTGAGAGAAAATAATTTTCGACTTCGCTATTTGTAATTACCGGTTTTCCACATCCAGATGGCGCTTTTTCGTTTCCATGGTAACGCTCGGAGGCGGAAATAGAAACATTTTCATTTCTTTTAACCGATTTTCTGTTTTGATATTAATATTTATTTGTTTTATTTTTGATTATTGGCGATAAAAGGTAATTAATTATGGAATTAGATAAACCAGATGATCTAACTGATCCGAATACGGGTGAAATTATCGTTGAAGAAGACGCGGCGACGACTGTCACTCATGTTACTTTACCAACACCGATAGAAGTGGAAACGATCCCAACCCGCAGAAAAACGGCCGGTAAAGTTGGTAGACCGATAACTAGTCCTCGGACTTTAGCAGCGTAAGTTTATTTATTTCTACTTCTCTTTCCCTCTTTCTTTCGCTCTGTCTTCCTATTTTTCTCGGTTTTGTGTTCTTTTCTGTTGTGATGAGATGATGAAATGAAATCATCATGCAATCGATGAACATGATTTTCAATGCGATTATATGGATATGGATCATTTTTGTTTTGTTAAGTTTTTCCAGTTTTTTTGTTTTACAATACGAGAATTTTTCTTTTGCGGTTTTAAATTTGTTATTCAAGAATTTGAATATATATAATATGTGCCCTTTCCCAGGACTTTTCCAGAGATACCAATTATCTTGGCCAAACTTGAAGCTGGAGAATGTTTCACCCGAACCCGAACTTCTCATGCCTCTTCCGAGGTTTGGTCTCTTTTTGATGAGATTGCCTACACGGAGAATTCAGAATTTACTGGTATTGTAAGATGTAAAATGTGTCACTTTATGACCCGTTATCATGGTCAAATAACTGGTACCTCACACATGAGGCGTCATCCCTGTTTTGCCAATTCCCATTCATCTGATTCTGGAATATTGGCCGGATTAAGAGGATCAGGAGGTGGTGTTGATGGAGATGTAGGAGGAGGATTAGGTAAAAATGATTCTTCTTTTACTATTCTCCCTGATGGGACTAAATTAAAAACTTATAGTAAAAAATATTTCAAACCAGGAATTTCCCAATCACCATTATCATCATCATCATCATCATCACCATCACCATCAGCATCATCTTTACCTTTAGTAAAAAGAGGAATAAATAATTTCACAACAACAACAATAGGATCTGGAGGAGATGATTGCTCATTTATCAGCTGGTCTTTAGTTTACGAAAAGTTTACTGAAGTTAAAGATGCTCTCACTTCGGAGTCTGTTGGTTATCTCTCATGTAAGGAATGTAAAGCTCTAATTAAACGAGATATTCGTAACATAACCGGACATACCTGTAAATCTAAAGACATTGCAAGGAAAAATTCATCAAACATTGAAACATCTCTTCTATTATTTCGTCAAAAGCCTAAAAGTCGAGCTACTCCAGTTTGGGAAATTTTCGAAGAGATTATCGATCCAACCACCAACATAGTCCTTGGTTATGTTCGTTGTAAACAATGTAAAAATATAATTCGTGCCACTGATCCTAAATCAGTTCCTGCAGTATTAAGAAAACATATTCCCAATTGTCCAGCTGATCCGGCTAACGATCAATCGGGAATAATATTACCAAATGATAATGAAGCTGAAATCGATTCAGCGATTGTTCAAATTGTATCATATAATACCAATTCCTTAACCTCTGGTTCCATCAAACAAAATGCATCTTCATCCCAATCATCTAATCAACAATCACCCACCCGAACGATAACCTCATCACCAAGATCGCCAATGGGACCACCTTCATCATCATCAATTCTAAATAAATCAATTGCACCTTCAAGTACCTCATCATCATCAACACCATCATCATCTAAAATTGTAAATGCCAAGACAGATTTTCGAGAGAAAGTTATCCAATTTTGTTACAGTGAATTGGTTGGTCTTGAAGCGGTTACCAGTGAATCTTTTAAACGACTTGCTCAAAGTTTGGTCTCTCTTGGATCACAATATGGACGATCTACTTTAGTCTTACCCGATGTAAATCAACTTCAACTTCACATGAATCAACATTTTCTCCAAGTCAAGGAAACAATTAGAATCCAATTAGACCATGAAATTGCCCGTAACATGGGAGGTTCCCTTGTCTGTGATACCCAAGGAACCCTTTGTATCCTATCCGCTTATTATATTAACCGTGATTGGCAATTAGTTGAATCAATTTTAAGTGCCACCGTTTCCAATGAAGATATTAATTCATTTATTACAACTGCTCTTAACGATTATGGTTTAAATGAAGAGGAAAGATTAGCAAAGTTTACCTTTGTCTCCAGAGGTGGACTTTTTGATGGTGTTAACATTTGTCTACCCTCAATTGCCCATACAATTGATCAACTTATTGAGACAACAATTTTCAATGATGAAATGATTAGTGAATTGGTTGAAAATTGCCGCATCATTTGCGCCGAGTTAAAAGCGGAAATTAAACTTGACCCGATAACCATAAACGTTACCTGGATTTATAAATGGGAATTAATGAATACCGTTTTATTGAATCGTGATAATTTTGAGATGCAAAATTCAACCCTTGACATTGATTTAATTAAAAATATTGTCGATCTTTTAATTATTTTTAAAGAAGCCTCTGTTGAACTGAGACAATGTAACAAATACCCAACCCTTAATCATGTATTACTTTGGTACCATAAGCTTTTAAAAGTTTTAAATGCAACCTCACTTTTCAATGTATCTACAAACCATGTAACCATCAATGTAACCCAATTATCATCACCTTCACCATCATCCTCGACCATATCAACTGTAACAACAACAACAACAACAACAGCGGCAGCATCATCACCAACACCAAGCACAACCACAACGAAAATCCCACCAACCAATACAACCAACACTTCACCAACATCTCCATCATCATCATCTTCACTAGTAGTTACAGCATTGATTCCTGCAATTGGAATCGCCACCACAACAAGTACAACCAATGATCCAATTGAAGAGACACCATTTTTGGGATCGATAAAAAATTTCCTCAAACTTGGTCTCGAACAGCATTTCAGTCTTCACCATCTTCACAAAATTGCAACCTTTTTATGGCCCAATTTTAGGTACCTTAAAATGTTAACCACCGAAGAACGGGAAGAAGTTCATTCCCAAGTTCGGTCTTACATTGATACTCGATTATCAACCGATGAGGGAATAGCAGCTTCAGCTAAAAAAGCAAGATCTGACTTCTCAGATTGGGAAGATAATGCAGTTGACTCTGTGGACGAAGTGGAAAAATACATCACCGCCATGTTAACTTCATGTAATGAAACCAATTTACTCCAATGGTGGAAAGAGCATCAAAATGATTTCCCGAAACTTTCCCACCTTGCAAAATGGGTTCTATCCATTCCCGCCTCTGTTACATCCCTGGAGAAATTTAAACTTCATCCAACTCAACGAGTTAACGATGAGCTATTATTTTTATATTGTAACTCGTAAGTGTTACTCGATTAGTTTATTTAATTTACTAAAAAAACTATCCATTAACAATAATAGTGTTCCAAACACTCTGGTTATCTTTTCTGATATTCTCATAAATATAATCTTACCTATTATACTTTATTTTTCAGTTATGTTCAGAAAGAAATCAATACACTTTCCCGTTTTCGAAGATGAAATTTACAATAATCTTCAACTTACTGTGAGTTGTGCCAACAAATCTTTGCCCACTGATTGCTTTGCTCGCACCGTTTTGATCCATATATAAATCCATCATCTTATCACAACATCGAAAGACACACACAATCTTCATATCACTTAATCGAATTTTTTGTTCTTTATCATATTTGATATTTAAATCACTTTTTTGACCTTTATAACGTTTTTCTCTCTATCCCTTTGCCTCAATTTGGCTTTTTCTTTGCATCGCTCATTTAAATCACTAATCCATCAATGTACATATTTATAATTAATTTGACTTTTGTTTTCTTTGGTGGATTAGTACTGGTAACATCAAGAAAAACAATTCTAAGATCAAGTCGAAAAACGCCGAAAAGAAGAAACGATTTAGCTCAATTAAGACAAGTTTGGCTCGTAGTAATTGGTCAGAAAAGATGAAAATTAAAGCGGAGCGAAAAGCAATCAAGCAACGAGATGATGAATCTAAAGCACGTCGTCAACAGAAGTTGGAGGTTGTTATTTAATTTCTTTTGTCCAAATTTTCTCTCTATTATTATTCTAATTTAGGCCTTAATTTGATTTCGAAATATATAGCTAATTATTTGTGAATGTTTTCTTTTACCTTTTCCGCAGGAAGAGAGACGATTACGAGCGGAGGCCAGAAAACGCAAAGAGGAAAACCAGCGTAAAGCTGAGATAGTACAACCAGTGAGTAGACTTTAATCACTTTCCTCACTGAATTAATAGAATATTATTTTTATCATCACTAATTAATCGTGATTTCGATCTTCCTTTATCCTTTTCTGTTTTCCAAAGCTAATTATCTCTTGTTTTTCTTGATTACAGATTAAAAAAACTGCCAAACTAAAAAGACTAAAGAAAAGAGAATTGAAAAAGATTCGCAAAGTATAAATATCGATTTGGTTTCCGTTAAACTATTGTTACCACGATGAACTGACCATCAATTGATGTTTACCACACAAATTTTTTGATCGAAAACAAACTGACCAATAAGCCAATCAATCGTTTTGCTGCTTAATTATATTTTTTTCTCTGTGTTGTTGATATCATATACAAATTACACCGATAATTTAATACAAAACGATTAAATAGTGAAGACAAAAGTTAAAATTATTCTTAATGAATGAATCACCTTTCTCTTTTGTTATTTAAATTTGTCTCGATAATCAAGAATCAAATTTAATTGTAATGAGATGAAACATTAATCATTCTTGATAATCTGTTCGGATTAACAATTAATTGTAATTCTATTCTATTGGATCAACAATCAATTTTCTTCTTCTTCTTTCAATCCAATCAATTAATCTTTCTGACAGAATTGGAATCAAATTAAACTCTCTTATTTGATTAGATATTTTCATCAAGAACAACAATCAAAGGATTAACAATTTAAACTCTTGATAAAATAACAAAAATCAACCAAATTTAATTCACCTTTAAATCAGCTATTAATAATTAACTCTAATTATTACTTTCGCCTCTATCCTTAAACCCTTAATTTTAATCCAGTTTTTATTTTAACTTTGATTGATTGAAATCTCAACATCAATTACAATTTAATTGTGATGAGATTTTTACTCTTAATCAAGGATGATCATCACCATGAATTTAATCAATTGCCCTGAATTAGTTTAGTTAATTCAAAGTAACCAAATGATTAAACAAATTCACAAACCATCAAGTGTAACAATTTATATAAATTGTTTCCAATGTTATAAACATTAATTTAGATTTAAACTTGACACAACAATTTAAAGTTTACTTTTAATGATAAAAGTGTCATGACAATTATCATCGCCATCATGAGCTTCGTGTTAGGTGCTTGACCTGAGGTCAGTTTGTTTTGATGAAAGTAAAAACGGAAACGTTTCTAAATTGTTGAAAAGTTGACAGGAAATTATCTTAATCATGAAGAAGCCAATATAATGTTTGAAAAACATGATGAAGATGAGGATGATAAATGAAGAGTAGGCTAATCATCACACTTTTTGTGTATTTGCGTTTAATGAACTTAAACTTATCTCCATCTCTCACTAGGTCAGTATCTAAAAACCGGACGCCGGAGGAGATAAAGGGAGCCAGGAAAGAGAGGGTGAGAGAGAGAGAGAGATGAAAGTTAGATGACCAAAGCTAAAATAACGGTAAATTTTATCTCTAAACATAAACATGGACCGGTTTTCACCGTTGACTAAATGTATCATCATCTTCATCCTTTTACATGATGCTAATTTCATTACCTTTATTTATTACTTTTATACCATGATGATGATGATAAAGATGAGGATGATGATGAGGATGATAACTAAATTAATATTTCGAAAACAATTTCTTTACTTTGAATACGAAATTATTTTCTTCTCTTACCTGTTGATCTGATTTCTGTTGCAGTTTTTTACCGTTATCTTCATCATCTTATATTTATCATCTTTCTCATCCTTGTAATCAACTCACTTTCATGTTGATTTACAAATAGTTTGATACGTTGACCACTTTGGATTGATGATTATTAGTTAATTGTTGTTTCCTTTTATTTTATTCATTGGGTTAATCCAATTAATAACCATTTATGTGACAATTAAAGGATTTTTATTTTGTTTCGTCCTTTTTTTTTTTAATCATCATCTTAATTATTTTCATCGTCATCAGAAATTAGTTTTAGTGTTCAAATGGCCCTCGAAGTGATCAGTCCAGTATTACCCGCTCTTTTACCTCTAGCGACGGTTTTATTGATTCGGCAAATTGATCATTCGGTTCCAGTCTCAGGTCCGACCTGGGATCAAGTTTATGATTATATTATCATCGGTTCGGGTTCAGCTGGGTCAGTGTTGGCCAATCGACTGACCGAGGATCCAAGTATTTCAGTTTTAGTTCTTGAAGCGGGTGGAAGTGAATCTATTGTGACCGATGTCCCGCTTAGTACAACATCGTTACAAAAGACTCCCCTTGATTGGGCATATGAAACGGAACCTCAGTCTGCCTCGTGTTTTGGCCTGAGAGGTCGTCGATCTCACTGGCCAAGAGGTAAAGTTCTTGGTGGTTCATCAGTTCTCAATTTTATGCTCTATGTGCGTGCCAATCGTCGGGATTACGATAATTGGGCTTACAACCAAGGGTGTTACGGTTGGTCATGGGACGAAATTTATCCGTACTTTTTAAAATCGGAAGATAATCAAGATCCGATTCGAGGATCTAAACCATGGCATGCTCGAGGTGGTTACTTGACAGTTTCCACTCCACCTTCGCCCACTCCCTTAGCTAAAGCTTTTCTTGATGCTGCAGGTCCGTTGGGCTATGAAGTTCGTGACGTTAACGGACCCGTACAAACGGGTTTCATGTACCCACAAGGTACCATTCGTCACGGAGCTCGATGTTCAACCGCTAAAGCTTTTCTTTTACCCGCTAAGCACCGAGCTAACCTACGACTTGTGACCTTTGCTCAAGTGACCAAAATTTTGTTCAACGCTCACAAACGAGCAGTAGGTGTCAGATTCAGTCACTTTGGTATCATGCACAAAGTAACTGCCAAACGTGAGGTCATTGTCTCAGCGGGTGCAATCAATTCACCTCAGTTACTCATGTTATCGGGAATCGGTCCAAGGTATCACCTTGAATCACTCGGTATCCCAGTGGTTGCTGATCTTCCGGTCGGTGAAAACCTTCAAGATCACATTTATCCGGGTGGAATTCATTTCTCTCTCGAAGAGCCAGTCTCTATTGTCGAGGAGCGAACCGCTAATCCACAAAACGTTTTGACCTATTTTACCTTCGGCAAAGGACCTTTAACCTCGCTCGGTGCCATCGAAGGTCTTGGTTTTGTTAATTCTCGATTCGCAAATTGGACCGATGATTATCCGGATGTTGAGGTTCATTTTATCGCTGGTGGACCAATGTCCGACGATGGGAAATCCCTTCGAGATCAAGTTGGTATCAAGGAAGAAATTTGGACCAAATATTATCAACCTTACACGGAGAAAGATGGATTCTCAGTCTATCCCGTTTTATTGAGACCTAAAAGTCGAGGTTGGGTTCGTCTAAAATCTCGCAATCCATTTGCCGCTCCTTTGATTGACCCTCAATATCTAACGGCGGACAACGATATCCACGTGGTCGTTGATTCAATGAAATTCGCGATTCAACTTGGATACTCACACGCATTTAAAAAATTTCGTCCTAAATTATACGATCGCATGTTCCCAGGATGTGAAGAGTACCTTCAATGGTCATCCGAATATCTGGCCTGTATCGCCCGTTCCTTCACGGCCACTATTTATCACCCAGTTGGAACTTGTAAAATGGGCTCACCCCTCGACCCTTCAGCCGTTGTTGACCCTCAACTCCGAGTCCTAGGAGGTGTAAGTGGCCTAAGAGTCGTTGACGCTTCCATCATGCCACTAATCGTCTCGGGAAACACCAACGCTCCAACAATAATGATCGCTGAAAAAGCCGCTGATCTAATTAAATCATCTAAATATAATCATCACCTTTAATCACTATCAACACACATAATCACAAAAAAAAGACTAAAAGTTAATCAAGTGACCAATCAATTAATTGTTCAAACGGATTAACATGAAAAGTGCTTTATTTTAATGTTAACATTTTTTGCTCAAAACCGTAAAAGACAAAATTGATTTAATCATCAACTTAATCATCATCCTAATCCGCATCTTAATCATTAACTTCATCATCATTAAGACGACAACCACCACAATCAACATGAACAATTAAGCCTTTTGTTGAACCAGCAATCGGATTAATAACAATTTAAGATCAAATAATTAATGATTCTAGTCCATTAGGTCTATCATCATCATCATCATCATCATCATCATAATCATCATCATCATCATAATCATAATCATCATTATCGTTGGTAACAATTAACAAAAATCAACTTTAAATTGCCATCACAATCATTTAATCATCACCATAAATAAATCAACAATTTTAAAACTTTTCAAACGTTTAAATGTTGAAGTAAAAAGTGATTACAATTATAATTAAAGATGAAAAGAAATTTTTTCTTCTTATTTATGATTTAATCACAATTAACTTGTTTCTAAATTTAATATTAGCCTGAAGCGATTTGAATTTAATTTACCTTAATTAGTAAACACGTCGAGTAAAATGTTGATTGCAATTAAAAGGGAAAAAAATTTGTTACTTTTTTTCAATTGGTTTGTTTTTGTTTTATTCATATTGACAAAATAAAGATAAATGATAATTAATTAATTATTTAGTTAATTATTATACAAATTGTAATAATCTAACAATCAATTGTTTTTCTATCAATTTAATATCATAATTGTAGTTGTTCATCTTTAATTTGATTACGTTTTTTATATGTATGTTGATTATTAATCAGTGACATTTGATCACAATTTATTAATTAATTGTGTTAATCATTGTGTTAATATTATTGATTCAATTAGATATACTAGATGATTAGAAAACATAAAACTTAATTCAATTGAATCATAATGATTGTAGTACTTTGATTAACACTAATCAATTTTCTGAAAATATCTCAATAATCAATAAATTGTTTCGATTAAAACATTCAATTAAAATATACATATTTCTCTGTTGATTATTGACAATTAGGACCCAAACAGAATTAAAATATATTTTCAATTATAACAATTAAGCAAAGAAAAAAAATAATAATTTTCCCTCAACAATCAAAGTGTAATCATGATGATCAATTTGATTTAAACTTTGATTTGATTGTTTTTCAAAGTCAAACGCTAAATCATTTAAATATTAAGGTTAAACTTAATTGCTGTAAATATATTTCAATTTATGATTGAATAGTTTTACAAACAATCAGGATTCTAAGAGAGAGAGAGAGGAAATTTAAAATTAAATTAATCTCATAATAATTGCTTTTAAAAGTGACTACAATTTTTAAGAGGTTAATTTAATTTTGTACAATTTTAACTTGAAGCCCAAAAGTTCAGTAAGAACAGCTGAGAAAGCCGATAAAACAATAACTTTGGTTATATTGTAGAGATAGGGATTAGCTGAGAAACCAGAGATTTTGAATGGAGCTTCGAGTAGTTTCAATACATCAGCCGCTGATTTGATTAATTGATTAGCGAGGGTAAGGTCTTCCTTTTTGTGAGGTTTTTGCTCCAATTGAAGGTAAAGATTAATTTGTTCCGATAATAAGATTGTCAAACAACCTCGACTTTTACGATTCATCTTCGATCCAAGGATGATTAACCTCATTATGTATAATCCAATGGCAAGATTCCAGAAAACCATTTCCCAGCAATAAAGTTTTTCTGAGCAAATTTCATTGTCCCGAAGAAGCTAAATCATTAGAAAGAGAGAAAAAATCGAAACAATTAGTTGATTGTTGGTAGATGAAATTTGTTTTTAGTGTTTTTTACTTACCTGAATGCATAGAAAGGTTAAAATGCTAACTTCGACAATGAAACTTGATGAAACAATTGCATCGATTGACCTTTGAGGACCATGATTTTGTAGGTACGAACGTACTGATAACCATGTTTTTATGTTTCTTACTTTATTCAAACGGAAATGAGGTAGGTCAGAACGTCGAGCTCGTCGGGATGATGTTAGATGACAAAAATATTTTGCATAAAGGAACCTCTGTAATAATAATAGAAAAAGAGAGTTAATTTGATTCGTTAATTATTGTATGTTAAATGTTCTAATTTACCTCTCGAAATGTTCGTTCGGCAACGCAGAGAAGGAAAAAGAAACATAAACTTAAGAAAAATCTTTCAATTATTGCAACAAGAACAACGAATTGTACACTTAAAGAGGAAAATGAGTGAACCATTGTTTCCGCTAACAGATCAGTGGCCAGTGTCGGTATTTCTTGGATAATATCGGATAATATTTCCTTTGATGAATTGGGATTGGAAAAGTGGGCTGGGGTCATTTTTCTTCGACGGGTTTCAGAGAAACGTTGAGAGGTGGCAAACTGACGGATTCGGAAGATGACTGGAATAAAGGCCAAAACCAGGGAGAGCAGGAAACCAAGATAAAAATATTCATTCGAGTGTTTAACCGATTCAACTTTGCGAATTATAGCCGATGAAATGTCCAAAACCGATAAGTCCACTTTTTGACATTCTCTCGTTTGCCAAATAGCACAGCTCACTGAAGGAAAGGGAAAACAATTAGTTAATTAATATTAATTTCTCTCTATTGTGTGATTATGTTAGTACCTTTGTCATTAAGGGTTTTACCGGTTCTTTGGTTATATGGGTTAGACTCTTCTGGACTATAACTAATGGACGGAGCATGATGATGGTGATACTGGTGGTGATGATGGTGATGATGATGATGATCTTCGCGATGATGATGCTGATGGGAATGAGATTGATGATTGGAATGATGGTGATGATGATGAGTATGAGTATGGTGATGATGATTGGATAATGATCTAGATGATTGTTCACTGAAATTGAAAAATTCTTGATTGTCATTGAGTTTTTTTAAAGCTTCATTAGAAACATCAACATCAACTCCCATCATCATTTCACCTTCATCATCAGAGGTACCGTCTGAGTTAATTGAAGGCCAGTCAAGGTCAGAGGCTAATTTTGTTATTGGTGATGTTGGGGACATGGAGCATTCAGATTCACCTGAAGATGAACAGCCATCTACACCTCCACCTCCTCTACCAACTACTATTGATTTAGAGCAAGAAACAGGTAAACAAAATTGAAGTCTATGAGGTGGGTGATGAATTGTTGCTGATGATGATAACAGTTTTGTCTTATTAATGATGATACTTCGTTGATCCTTACTAATTTTACCGATATTATTATTATCGATTATTGGATCTTTGCTAATTTTAATAGTTTTACCATTACTAGAAACTTGACCATTGGTGTTTGTTTGAGAGAGACAAAAGTTGACCGGACTTTGTTTACATCGGGAATCACGTTGAACATCAATTGGAATCCCTGTAGTTGGTGAAGTGATATTATATTTCCTGGAGATAAAAATAAGACACTAATTAGATGAACTGTTGAAATTAAGATTAATTATTACAATTTGAACGTAACAATTACCTAGACCATTCAAAACGATTATTGGAATCAACTGTTGAATAAGGTGAACACTCATCAGCTGAACTTAAATCACCAATGGTTCCATCGGGTTCTGTATCTGTATTGGCCTCCTTTTTGACCTCATATTCAATTCGAGCCTTGAAAGTCAAACAAAAAAAAAACACAATCAGAATCAACTCAATTTCATTTACTACGAAAATACCATCACCATGACAATCAACTGACCATCAAAATAATCTCATAATCATACAAAATTCATTGATTTTAACCATTGAATAAAAAAAGAGAGAAATCGATCAACATCAACGATGAAAATCAATACCAAATCAATTGATAATAGATTTTCAATCGAATCAAATAATCTATGGTTACGAGAGGGAAAAAAGCTCGAGATAATTGTTAACTAACAATTAACTCCAAAATATAACTGCTTATATTTAGTATTGAAATCAATACCTTCAGATCAATGGAACAATTTGAATGATTGATTAATATTAATAGCAATAATAATAATCAAATAAATTGACATGCTAATCATCTGCATGTTATGCTAATTGTGAAATATTTCATCATCTAACAATTAACATTATTAATGGAATACAATTTACTTGATCATAATTGAACATTTTGAAGGGAGAGACTGGTAATTTCTCATTTAGTATGTTCATGATTAATCAGCATTTATGTTGAAAAAATATTCGTTTCATGAAAACTCAAGGATCATTGAGTGAATATTAAAATCACCCTGAAATAATGTTACAATATTAATTTTCTGAAAGGAAAGTGATAATAATAAAATAGCAACGATCGAGTTCAAGGTTGAGAATACAGGTCGATAATGATTGTTATTGTTATTCTTGAGGTCTGAACTTTATCGTCATGAAAGGAAACTGGCTTGAATTATCATGAAAGTTGATGGGAAAAAAATGTTAGTCTAAGAGGAAGATAAATGATGATGATAAGGTAAAACTGAACATTATCATGTTTTGTTAGTATTATTATTTTCAGAAGTAGTGATTACATGATAATGGTTATGATGAGTTTCCAAGGATTAAGTTCAGCTTTCAGTTACATGATGTTTATCAAAATGCTACGAAAATGATGATGGAACTTATAACAGATTATTAAAGATAAACGAAAGTGAATATCACTGAATTTTCAGATTAATTCCGAGATAATTTCCGCTTGTTATTTCACATCTTCTCTCTCGACAATCCACATCAACAGATTTCCATCATGATGATGTGTCGTGACACTATTATTATTATTATTATTATTATTATGGTTTCTTAGGTGAATTATCAGTTCATGTTGACCTTGAAACTATCAGAATTCAAGCAATCATGAAAATTCATATTCCAGGATTTTCAGGATCACTCTTTCAATTTGACAAATTGCTTTTCTTTCATCTTATTGATCCATGACTGGGAGTTTTTTTTGCGGGTACGAAAGTGATTAAATTGATAAATCATTTGGAAGATTATGATATTAAAATAATCTTGGTAAAAGTGATGATGATAATCGGAAGTAAAAATTACCAATGCTTGAGATGAGTTGACGATATTTTCTATTAATATTAAGAGTTGCAATATAATAATGAAAGAAAAATATTGATTAGCAATCATGTTGAATGTTAATCATAATTAAATTGCTTTTGAGATATTATATGAATGGAAATGTTATCTGGTTAATATTTTTGGTAAATATGATCAATGATTTATGATTAAGATCATTGAAGCAAAAGATACAGATTATTAACCATTGGACGTGGAAATGTGATAACAATCAATTGATTATGACAATGAAATAAATATAAACCGTTAATGGTTATCATCAAGATGATAATGGTCATTTTGTCAACTACAAAGATATAGTTAATTATTATATTAGCGTGATGATCAAAAAGCGTAGGTTGTAGTCAAGGTTGACCAGCTAATTGACCTTTGGGAATGATAATAATGATCAAATGAATTGTTGTGATGATGAGGAACAAAAAACTTAGGTAACCATAGGATTAGAATCCAAGATCTGTTATTCATGTAATAGAAAATCAATTGGATTGTAAATGAATGAGAGCCAAAGATTAGTGATGATGATAAAAAGGAAGCAAAGAAAATGACATTGGCAAATTATATGTTTATACACTGAAAGAATTTGTTTCATTGATTATTGAACGATGGAATCAAAGAATTACAAATTGCAAGATGATGATGATGAGGATCAAAATGATGATAAGGATCAAGATGATGACGGTAAATTGAATGTTAAGCAAAATGTCACCAAAGTAAAGAAAGAGTAAGTTTATTGACGCAGCAACCTGAACCTTGAAATGGAATCAAGGACAATCATTATTATTATTATCATCTTCATCTTCATCTTCATCTCTCTATCTTTTTTTAGGAAAACAGATCAAAGTATAAATTCAATTTATCCTCATCTCCTGTTTTTTTTTTATGATTTCTCAGTGAATAATCATGAAAAAATAACATGAAATTTAACCTTGACAATGACAGATTGAGCGAGTAGCAAATAATCATTTACTTTGTTCACCCTTAAGGCTTAAAGATCATGAAAATATTGTCATGGTGATTGTATGAAAATTTCAATATTATTCGATTGCTATTTGGATACAATAGTTTTTTGTTCAATTATTTATAATATCAAAGGGTAAACGGAAGAGTTAAAATTCCACTTCTAATAATCCAAACAATTCAATTCTCAGAATTCTGAATCATCATGAAAATTGAATTGTAATGAATATGAATTTAAATGTTATAATATCAGAGTTAGGAAACTATCATAGCCATGAGGTTGTGATACAATCAACATCTCATGATTGAGAAATAACAATTAACATGATCAATTTTTTCAAATGATTTATTTGTTGAAATCGTAGACAACTATTGATATTGATTGGTTAAATTGTCTGAAAAATTTATGATGGAGTTAATTTTAATAATTAAACCCTATTAGAAATCAAATTAACTGGCTAAATAGCAAATTTTCATTTCTAATTGCAATTAAAGGGTTAATTGTCTAGTACTGTTAATCCTTTATTTCCTCTGATTGTTGTGTTAAGATTTTTCTAATTGTTTCATTGGTAACTTTTTTTACTGCTTTAGGTAATGTGTCTTTAATTTGATTGTTTGCCAAATAGTGTTTAATTGTTAGTCTGATAACGTAGTAGTTTGTGATTTAATCATGTTAATAGCTGATGATGAAGCCAAAATATTGCAGTTAATTGAAACTTCAATGTTATTTTTGTTAAAGTTTGATTTTTGCTCATCAGAATCAATTTAGTTTATCAAATGAAATCAAAATTTTCCAATTAATGATCATTAAATTAGCTAATTAAAGATTATGATACCAACAATGTTTGACTAATTAACTTTCATTTAATTGAATGTAATCGTTACTCGCTCATTGGTTTCAACAAAGAAGTTAATTGTTGATCGATATTCAAGTAATCAAACTAATCTATTCATGGTAACTATAAATTGGTCATTAACACGATAAACGATGGAGATACAATTAACTATTTCTGTTAGTTAATTAAGAAAAAGTTGTGAAATACTAATGATTACATAGTGAACTTGAATCTTAACATTTTAAATCAACAGGAATTTTAATTAAGATAGAAATTAGTTGATAATATTAAAGGTTAAATAAGATTCATGAGAAATTCAAGGTTAATTGTTAATTAATCAAGAGAAAGAGAGAGAGAGAAAATATTTGGGACAATTTAAATTTAAATGTTCTCTAAAGTCTTAATTATTTAGCAATAATTAAACGATTGTGGTTTGAGTATTAGTTGATTGAGCCTTTGATGGTGAAGAAGTTAATTAATTGTTCATTAATGATGATGATTAAAAGATTAGATTAAACATTTGAATGGCTCATCTTCTTCCTCAATCATTTCCGTAATGATGGATAGAAACATAAGATTAAGAGAGGAAATAATAATAAAAAAACTAATCCTAATCTTAATCATAAAGATTTTGATAGATATTAGTGATGTAATCATATGGGATGATTACATAATTGAGCTAAAAATATTAGCATAATTGTTAACAATTAAAGAAGATGTAATTTTTTCCGGGAATCATCAAGTGATTAAAAATAATCAATATGACATTTAAGTTTCATCTTTGATTATTTCAATATATTATCAATCAACTGATTGTTTCAAGTGTCTCTCTCTCTCTCTCTCTCTCTTTCTATCTTTTCATAGGATCACAATTAAGGTTGATGAATACTCACTGATTCAGAATTAGAAATTTTCTGGGGAAAACTCTTCCGTCTACCTGAGTAACCGGGAGTTGATTTAGTTGAACTCGGGGTTGATGTTGATTGATCAGCTGATGGTGAACATGATTCTTGAGTGGAACTATTGTCACTATTATCATCCTCATCTTCCCCTCCTTCTTTTGTAAGAATAGTATTTACATTGGTAATATGTTTGGTTAACACCTTTCTCCTTCTTAAACGGGTTTCCCGTTCATCTTCATCTTCATCTTCATCATCATTATCATCTTCTTCCCTGGGAGTACCATTAGGTGTTTCCATAGAGTCTAATCCACTCTCATCATCTGATACCTTTGTCTCATCTCTTGGATTAAATTTTTTACACTTTGATGGTAATTTATCAACAGGAACATCAATTGATGAGGATGAAGATGATGTTGATGTTGATGGTAAATTGTTTTGTACATTTGGTGATGAGATGATTGTCTCTTTAAGAGTATCACGTTTAGAGCAATTTTTACACAATCCGATGATTAAATTACTATTATCACTATTGGAAGTAGATTGATTTCTTGATTCTCGCCGTTTTGATGTTGTTAATGTTGAAGAAGATGATGATGATGGAGTTGATTTAAATGATGATGATGAATTTACATTATAATTAGAGTCATTTCCATAGTTATCATTTGACGAAATGTTGATGTTGTTATTATGATGATTTTGCTTCTCAGGAATTGTTATTGTTGGTGATAATGATGAACAAGGTGAAGATGCTATTGGATTAGAAATTGTTTCAATTGTTGGATTAAGTCGTGATCTGTATGATCTATTTTTACTGCTCGAAGAGGCACCGATCTGCGATTGCATGGTTCCCAGGATAAAGAACATGAATAAAGGTGAGACAACCTCTGAAATGGGAATTTCATCGAATTCATCTTTCTCCGAATTAAAGTAAATGTACATTGAGATCATTTGGAGACAATAAAGGATAAATAGAATGGCACATATTAGGGGATTGGTTTGTTCGGTCCACCAATTTAGATAGAAGGGAAATAGAAGGATTCTCACAATTCCAAGGTAAGTTGTAGTTAACCAACTTTGCTGTGGTTTAGCTTTAGCAAAATATGATCCACGAATCAAATCTAAATCTAAATCAATTGATTCCTTTTTAACACGAGCAACTTTCTTCGGTATTGCATGACTTAAACCTCGAAGGACTCGTTCCTCAATTGATTTCTCCCAAACCTGCTGATCATATGAACCAATCTAAATAGGAATAGAATTAAAAGAAACAAAGGGTTAAAGAATGAAACAATCATCAGTTTTTACAAAGAAAAAAGATTTTGATAAAACAAAACAAATAGAATCAAATTAAAATTCGATCAACAACAACAATGGAGTATAAGTAATCAATACTCACCTTCTTCTGATACCAATGTAAAGCATCACGAAATTGACTCTCAGTTAGAAACATAATCACAAATGTCGAATGAATCACTTATCGCTGAAGGATAAATCATATATCACAAGTAACAGATTAGAATTAATTGATTGATTAATCATGTAAATGTATCGAAAGAAATTATTCTCTCAATAATCTTTTCTAATTCCTGAAAAAAATGGAGGAATAGAAAGATGGAATATTAGAAACACTAGAATTTTGTTCTCTGTTCCAAATTTGAGAAAGAAATCATTCCACCAAGGATAAGATGAACAATTAGTAAATTGCCACAGGGAATAGATGAGAGAATTGGAATCACATTAAATTAATTAGAAACATTGATGATGATAAAAGAAAATGATGAAAGAATAAAATGGTTGACAACAAAAGAAGAAGAAAAAAAAACCAAAAATTGAGGTAAAGACACAGAGAGAAAATCAAAAGAAAGGAAAAGGTAAAGATTGAGAATAGAAAACAAATCAATAATTAAACGAAGTTCTAACAATTAATTAGATTGGACAATCGGTAGAATAATAATTAATTGTTTATTCCTTTGCGATGGAATCAAATGTAATCAGAGAGAAAGTAAACATTCACAGAGAGAGAGAGAAAGAGAGAAACGAAAATGGAGAAAAACTGTTTTCTTTTTTTTCTTCTTTCTCCAAGACAAGAAAGAGAAAAGAAAGAAAAAATTTTCTCTTGGTAACCAGAGTTTCTTTTCTGTTGCTGCTGCTCTCTGGTGATTCTCTTGTTTCTTTTGTCTTATTTTCTATTCTAAACAATTTAAGTTCACAATTAATTCACTAATTCAACAATTTACTAACTACACGTTACTTGCAATTGGAAAATTAAACTAATTTAATCAACCGAAGTGATCAAATTATGGACCAGTTTCATTTACCTCTTTCTACTTTTGTGACACCTTTTGGTTTATCGTTTGTCTCTCTCTCTCTCTCTCTCTCTCTCTCTCTCTCTCTCTTTCAATATTTACCTTTTTTTTTGCTTAATTGTTGCTAATTAATCTCGGAATCAGGTAAGTTCTCTAATGATTAAATGTTAAATTGTTGTTAAATTCTGTTTGGTGTTAACCTTGAAATGAAATTTTTGTTGTGACAAAAAAAAGATTCTTGGTTATTTGGATCAATATAGTTTCGGTTGTTGTTTTGTTGGAAAAGTAAACAATTAACCCTGAACTGAGATCTCTTTTTTTTGTTGTATTCGTTAAATTGTTGCAATTTAATTTGTCTAATTGACTTTTTTATCTTCTTACAGTGATTGTGATTTATTAATCGATTTGCTGATTATTGACTGTTTTTTTCTTCTGGTACCAATTGGTTTCTATTATTTTCTATCAGACTAAATATCAAAGTGAAAGTGAGACGGTTAAAAAAAGGATTCAAAAAGGTTGGTTCATTTGTGACAATCAATCGTCAAGAATCAATTGTGTTATTGGTTTAGTTTATTGGCTAATTTAGCTAATTACAAGTAAATATTAATTTGCTTTGGATTAGATTTTAACTAATTTCAATATTTCGTTTTGAATTTTTCTCTCTTTCTTTAAAAACCAGGGTAAACTGAAATATCGGATTTTCCAAGTAATCAGATTCACTAATCAACCATATTAAGGTCAATTTATTATGGAGATGTTGAAGTAATTAAGCTACTAATTGTTATCAGCGAGATGCTGATTTAATGATAACTCAAAATAACCCAAACATTTACCAAGAAGTTGTTGCCATGCAAAGAGATGATCTTTCTGAGCCTGGATTACATTATATTTTGATTGCGACCAATTATTCAGTTTAACAGGTAAATGAAAGGATTAATTTTCAATATTCTAGATTAATTAGATTAATAGTTTTATACTTTAATTTAGTTTAGCTTTAAATCTCGACTCTTTATGATGAGCTCACCTTTCTTCTGGTCATGTGACTGATCATATGTTTATGTTTACATTTTTCTCTTAGATTTTCTTTCAACATCAACTAATAATTGTCTTTTTATTTTGTCTGATTTAGATAAATTGAATTTATTAAATTCATATTCATGATTCATTTAATCATTGATAATTCGTCACTGGCTATCATCTGTATCCTTTTGTTTTCATCTTTTCCCCAAAAAGAGTAAGAGTTGTGAGTTTCCTGTTTTTTTATAGTGATTTACTTTTCTTGATTGTGACGATCACTTAATTTAACTCTAATTTTCTCTCACCCTTCATCTACTTATTATAGATTGATTTGTGGAACCAAATTGCGCCTCAAGAGAAAGAGAGACAGTTATGAGTTTAGCTACTTCATTGATTGACCTGAAAGCAGAATTATTAAAGAAGAGGGAAGAATCTAAATCTGATCGGGATCCCCAGGTTAACGTTAAAGGAGGTCAAAAGTGGAAATTATTAGCCGATAAAATTGATGTTAAAAATAAAGTTAAACAGTTGAAAGCTCGTAAGGAGAGGACATCGGATGAAGACGAAAGGAAAATCATCGATGAAGAGATTGAAAAACAGTTGAGATTATCTCGAGAAGCCTTGGAAAGAAAAGCAGCCATTTATGAGGCTCGAATGGGTAAAGCAATGGAAGGTATTTTCCAAGATTCTGATGAAGAATCGGAAGATGAAGATAAAAGGTGTCTTATTAATTTCGATGGAAAAGCATTGGAGCAGATTAAAATTCGAAATGAGGAGAGACGTCAAGCTGAAAGTCGGCTGAGAGGTTACAAGCGGAAAGAAGATGAAGAAGATTCTGAAGATTGGGTCGAATTTACAGATTCTCTTGGTCGAACTAGACGATGTCTTCGAAAAGATTTAAAATTCTTTGTGGATGCAGATAAACATCTCGAAAAAGATGAAAAACTAGAACCACAATCAAGTGGATTGAAGAAATTTAAATTAATCGATAGTGATGAAGACGATGAAGATAATTACAGAGAGGAAGAAAAATCAAATGAACAAGGACCAGTTCATTATACTGATGTTCGATACAACGAAGTTCGTGATCATGGTGTTGGATTTTATAAACTTTCTGGTGAATCAGAGGAAAGAACCAAACAATTGGACCAATTAAATCAGTTACGTGAACAAACAATTGAACAGATTAAAGTGAAAGCCAAAGAGAAGGAGAAAAAATCAATCGCAATTGAACAAAGATTAGCTCGAATAGCAGCTCGAAGAGGAATCAAATTTAAAAGTAAATCATCAACCAATTCAAATGAACAAAACACCAACAATGACGATCATTAAATCAACACCTCAAACAATTAACTCTCACACCAGATTATAGCAAAAAATCAACTTCCAAACTCACGCCAATTAATCTGTAAATTTAATTTTCTATGTCAATATCTCAAAATATCAATTCCCAATTCCGATCATCCCAATCAATTGTATTCAATCAGTTAATTGTTGGAAAAATTTTTCTATTCTGAGCAAACTCCAAACTCTGTTTTCTTTTTCCAAACACATGTTCCAATCACGTGACCATATCTGAAGATTTTTCTTGTTTATGTTTAATTTGATTAATTTAATTTCTTTTAAATGGTCGACGCAATTAACTAAATTGATTAGAGAATCAGATCATTGATTGGTAAGTAGATCTACTAGTCTATTGTAACAATTTTTCATTCATTTTCCATTTTATTTTGTTTTTTTCCTTTTTTAGGCTGAACAATAATTTCTTGGAGTTAATTTTTCTTACTTTGGATTAGTGAATAAATTGATCATCTTCACATCATTATCATGGCGACTCCAGTTTTATTTAAACGATTAACTTTACAATTAACCTCAAAACGAAGCTACAGTTTATTTAATCTGTTCAAGGCAAGTAGACAACAATCACATCGACAATTGTTCCCATCAACAGTTAATCAGTTTGAAAGATTAAAAATCAATGGATGTTTAAGAGGTAAAAGTGATTTACCTTGCGATTCTGGAGATGGTAAACAATCTGATGACAATTTGGAACAATCAACAGATGATCAACAAGAAAAATCTTCCAGTGTTAAATTAGCTCCCTCGTTGACTGGTAAATACAAGTTATTTGAGAACAGTGAAGAAGAGCTGATTCTTGATTATCGGGAAGAATTGTTATCAAAAGAGAATCAAATTATAACTGATTGGAGTTCCGATGGAATCAATTTTCCTCACCGAGAGAGAGAATCTAAATTTGATTCGATTAACTTGGAAAGAGGAAAAGAAGAGGTTATCGATATTGATGAACTGGTGGCACTTTTACGCCATGAAAACATGGAAGATATCGTTGTTATCTCACTGCCAAGGGAATTACGTTACACTGATTATATGTTAATTGCTTCAGCTAAATCAGTTAAACACCTTGAATCAGTTGCCGATTTCCTGGTGAAAGCGTGGAAACTTAAAAAACATCCTAAAGATCCTTTCCTTCAAATTGAAGGTGACGATACTCCCGATTGGAAAACTCTGGACATGAGGACTATAATGGTTCACCTTTTCATGTCGGAAACTCGTGAGAAATATGACCTTGAATCTCTTTGGACACTTGGTGTTCAATTCGATGATCTAACCCAGAAACCCGCTTACGATCCAGCAGTTGATCTATTAGAGAAACACTTAGCGTACCTGAAGAGTTTAGAACCCGCCGAACAACCGATAAGACGAGCTGACATGATTCCAATTCATGTGAGACCAGGAACGATGACAAGAACAGAAATGAAGGAATACCAAAGAGAATTAATCAAATCTAAATCACAAAATCAACCAACAAAATTAGATAACTAACTTAGTTGATTGTTGACAATTGTAATATATTCAAACAACAACAACAATTATCTTTCTCCACCCTGTAGATTATATGAAAATGTTTCCACAATATTTTATCAAAGTTGAAAAAAGACTCGTAATAAACGTCAAAATTTTCCATTTGATTAAATTTAATTCTAATTGGAAAAAATTTGTTATTTCGTTTTAGATTTTGTTTATTTGGGTTACTATTATTGGGCCATGTTCATCGGTAACAAATTCAAGGCCGAATATCGTTATTTTCGTGGTCGACGATTTGGGATATGGTGACCTTGGTCCGTTCGGCAATACAACCTTACCAACACCCGGGGTTGATAAACTTGCAGCTCGTGGGGTCAAATTGACTCATCACATAGCGGCAGCTTCCGTTTGTACACCGAGTCGAGCGGCTTTGTTGACAGGACGATACCCAATTCGTTACGGTTAGTGACCTTTTCTTTCCTAGTTATCGATTAACGGGCTTTTGTTATCCATACCGATCATTTTTTTCTTCATCTTTTTGAATTTTCGCTAAAGGAATGACCTCACCCTATCTTAATCGAGTCATTTTATTTGCTGGTTCTTCTGGTGGTCTACCTGCAACTGAGGTCACTTTTGCCACGATTGCAAAACAATCTGGCTATCGAACTGGCCTGATTGGTAAATGGCATGTTGGCCTTTCGTGTTCATCGATTGGTGACCATTGTCATCATCCCAATTCTCATGGCTTTGACTATTTCTATGGGACACCGATGACCAATATAAAAGATTCTGGTCAAGATGGCTACTCTGTGGTCACTTCGAACTTCCCGAACTTCAATAAGCTCATAATAACCGGTGTTTGTTTGGGATTTTCTATTGGAGGTGGTTTTTGGTTTTTCCTCCATCATCGAGTTATCGCTTGTCTAATTGTGTTATTTTTCCTAACGCTCTTTGGCGGAACTTGGATTTTCGTCCAATCTTTGGTTCGATTAAATTTATTCCTCATGAGAAACGGAACCATAATCGAACAACCGATTCATCTACCAACTTTAACTGACAGAATCGTAACCGAATCAATTAACTTCATCCAACAATCAACGGAAACAATTAACGAGCAACAACAACAACCTTTCCTCCTAATGGTGACCTTTTTAAAAGTTCACTCAGCTCACTATCCAAGTGAACAGTTTCTCGGACGTTCGAATTATGGTAAATTCGGAGATTGTGTTATGGAAGTTGATCACTCGATAAACAGAATATTGGCCACCCTAGAAGAAAAAAATTTAACCAGGTCAACATTTGTTTACCTTACATCGGACAACGGCGGTCATATTGAAGAGGTAAACATAAAGGGTCAACCTGACGGTGGTTATAACGGTAAATTTCCCGGTGGAAAGGGACACGGGGCAGTTGAAGGTGGAATCCGAGTACCGGGTATAGTCTCATGGCCTGGACAAATTCCAAGCGGTGTTAATTATGACCACCCAACATCTCAAATGGACTTAGTTCCAACACTTATTGACCTAATGGAATCTAAATATCAAGTTGATGACAATCATCATTTAGATGGGATAACTTGGACTCCATGGTTATTTAAATCATCTCCAAATGATAACAATTTATCCTCACGAATATTGTTTCACTACTGTGGTACTTACCTTCATGGTGTCCGTTTAATTTTAAACGTTGAAACAATTTATAAATTGTATTATTTTACTCCAAATTATGATAAACCAGCGGAAAAAAAGTGTAACTTTATCTGTCAGTGTTTCGGTAAACATGTTATCCGCCATGATCCACCCTTAATATATAACATTGCCGTCGATCCAACGGAAACTTCACCTCTTCCCAATAATCAAAGTTTAATCAATTACGTTAATCAACAAATTGTCCAACACCAATCAACTCTTAATCCATCAATCGAATCACAATTTTCAACAATCAACTTCATTTGGAAACCATGGATGCAGCCCTGTTGTAATCCGCCATTTTGTTCATGTCGAGAATCAAAAATTAACTCAACGGACGATAATCGATTAAGTTAATTTGTCTCGTTAATTGTTGTTTACCTGTTGACAATATGATTCTAAATGAACATCCAATGTCGAAAAGTCCAATTTTCTAAATCGTTGTTGAACTTTTTTAATTTTTTTCCAAATCATTTTTTTACCATTAGTAAATTGTTACGATGATTATTACCATTGTATGAGATTAATTTAATTGTTAATCAATCACTGAGATTAAAGGTTTAAAGTTGTTTTTTTTGTTCCTGACAAATTCACAATTAGTTAACAATTGAATAAATTTAATTGTAAGGATTGACAGAAAAAAAACGATAACAATCAAAGAGCAAACAAAATTAAAAACAAATTCAGATTAACAAGAAACAAATTAACATGATAATAAGTTGATTGGTTGGAGAGTTTAATTGAAACAATTGATTGTTTTCCTTTCACTTGTTCCAATGTAAAGATCAGAAATTTAAGCTGACGAGGGGAAGGTGAAGGTAGTAATCAAATTAATTAGTAACAGGGAATTGTAATTAATTAGATTTTATAAGGCAAGTGATCCAAGAGCAGCGCTTTCTTTTAATTGTTTCTCATCAAAATGTCTGGGTTGAGGTTCAGCTGATTTACCAACTAAATGAGGTCCCTTGAATTCTGGATGGAGCCAAGTCTAATTAGCAGAGAGAAAAGAAAATAAAAAACAATTAAGATTGTTAGAGAATGAAGATTAAGAGATTTAAATAATCGAATAAGAAAAGAAGAAGGAAAAAACTGTAGAATTTTCAACTAACTGCTCGAGCAACGGCGACGATTGTAGCGGTCACTTGAGGTGTATTCTTTTTCTCGACCAGGTCAACGGTTTGGAAAAGGTCATCTTCAGGTACTCCATATTTTTGAGCCGCTCGTAAAAATTTGGCGACATTTTCAACCGCTTTGAATGCGTGTTTAGGTTCCAGGTCAATGTTTCTCACTGATCCGGGATTTAATTTCTCCATTAATCTAAATTTTTTGATGAGAGAGAGAGAGAGAGAGAGAGAGAGAGAGAGAGAGTTAAGGAAGCAATAGAGAATAGAAAAGGTAAAGGGTCAAGAATGAGCATTGATGGTCAACTTGTTTAACTTTTCGAAAACAAATTGGCAATACAAATTGTAATAATAATATATTATTTGACTGTGAAGAGAATCATGAATCTGAGTTGGAAACTGGAATGCGAAAGGATAAATTATTAATCCGATAAACTGAATCAACTTGGTCATCATGTTATGTCAGAAACCAGAATAGCAATAAAATTAATCACTAATCTAAACAAATGATGATTATAACAACTTTCAAACTAGAATCAAATTATTTACCAGAATTTTCATCATCATCATCATCATCATCATCATCATCTTGGTGTCACCTTGATTGTGATAAAATTGATGAGAACAAGTAAACAAAATGATGAAACAAGATGGAAAACCTAACGAACCTGAATGAGGAAGCAAAGGAAAAAAGTAAAAGTATCATGAAAATGGTTGAGAAAATTTTATCTTCCATGATGATGATGAACACTCTGTATTTGATTGGTAATAATAATAAGTCAGTAAAAGTATCAATCGATTAAATTTGTTGATATTGAGTTTTTTTTGTAGCTTTTCATCATTTCATTTTTTACCGCCTTCGTTACCTTCCCACTCTTCTTGTCCACTCTGTGTCCAGTTACTAAGTGGTAGTTGTAGTTACAACAATTATTTCAAGTTGTTTCTATTCAATTTTCAAGAAATAAATTATATAATAGATAACATATTAAACTCATAGGATTGCGATAAAAGTTGGACAATAATAGTAATACAATTTAATAACAATACAAGAACCTGAATTGTTGGCAATTTGTATTACATTTAGTTGATTGTGTTGATAAGATGATGATAATCACAATACACATACAAGTTTATCAGAGATGAGGATAAATAGGAGGCGAAGATGATGATTAGGAAGATAATAGATAGATTTAGATTGTAATCTAAAAGCAAGAATATCTCTGAATTTCTAGAAAAAAAAATCTCTTTTTGACAATCAATTCTTTTTTTTTATTCGATCTCTCTCTCTCTCTCTCGCTCACTTGATATAAATAACGAGAGATCCATCATCTTGGCTTATCTTCCAAGTGTAAATATGTGTCTCTTCTTATCTCAATTTCATGATGATGACAATCATCATCATGATAGTTTATCATCAACCGAAGATTGAAACAGAATCTGAGGAAAATTCAATTCGGTTCATAAATAAATGTACATAATTTAAAGATACAAAGTCAACTAGATTTATCTTGTTATATTGTTTGGATATTAGTTGATTGACTTGGTTATCAACACATAGAGAATAATAAATCAAATTGATTTGATTGTCTATTGAATTTAATATTAAATCTTTCAAATTGATTATTCGTCTGTTGATATTGTCTTTTTTGTATTATCCCTTAAGGATCAATTGTGATCAACTTTTAAATATATCAACGATTCTTAAGATTATCTTATTGGTGCTATATTAATAAGATGATCATAATAATGATGAGCATATTGGTTTTGATTATCGTTAGTAGATTGATTAAAATGATTGAGAAGAGAATGAAAAATTCATTAAGTCAACCCTTTTCTCTCTCTCTCTCTCTCTCTCTCTGCTGATTGTTAGAGTTAATATAGAGAATTTAATTATGGAGAATTTTCTCTGATTATCTGTTGATTGATTGAATAATAACCTTGAGTGAGGAAATTTTTTTAAAAAGGTTTGATTAACATCGTTCATCAGGAAAGAGGTTAACTCTTGGTCTCTTATTACACTTCCATTGGGAGTATATCAAGATGATTGACTGAATATGAATATTTCACCATAATTCAATATCATGATAATATGGGACAAATTCTTGAAGGTTAATTCTGTTCAATATTGAAGGTTTGTCACAATATTTTTTTTCTCTCTCTATTTGCTCTCTTTTAATCTCTCCTGTCAGACATTTTCCTTCAGCAATTTACACCAAAAAGTTGAATTACTGTTGATGTATGAGAAGAAGAAGGTGAAATATGAGGAATTAATTTTCAATTCTATTTGTTTCCCTTATGAGAATTTGTAAATATCAATGGGAAAAGGAGCTTCATTTTCTACAACCATTATTACCATCTCATTAAAAACGTTTAAAGGTTGTCACTTAGCTTCATGGGGAAATATATAGCACATATAATACATATATCTAAGTATAATATTCACAGGGAAGAAAGAGTAAGAAAATTGAATAGAATTTGTGATTTTAAATAATAGAAAAGAAGAAAAATTTTTTTTTCTTTTCTCTTGTTGTCAACTTACTTGCATAAGAAAACACCATCAGCCAAAGCCTCTTCATAGGGAGTTCCTTGATATTTGGGAACTTTTTCACCGATAATTTCACTTATCCATTTGAGAACTTTAGTTTCTAGATCAGGATTACGTTTGGCAAACATCTAAACATGATTGAAGTAGAAGAACAATTAATTAATTCCAAATGATAACAAAGGGAAAGAGAAAGAGAAAAATAAAAAGCAAAAAGCAAAAAGGGTAAATAACAATACGACTGAAAAGTAAATGGAAACACTCAGATAGAAAAGGAAAATAACAGAATAATCCACATGAAGTAGAGTAATTATTATATTATTAATACAAATCGAAAACAAGATTAAACATAAATTAAACAGAAAAAGAAACAAAAGATTATCAATTAATCCGATTTGGATTAATCAAAATGAAAGAGAATAGAATTTGTTTTTTCTATTAATCTTATAAATCTAAAGATGGCGTTGATCTCATAGAGACAATGGAGGGAACAAGAATTAAATTTTCTTTTGGAATATTAATTAGGTGAGAAAATTAAGTTCTTTTTGTATTTCTATTTTCTATTTTTCTCTTTAAAATGGTTAATTAACAAGGTGAACAATTAAGTGTCTCTAATTGGATTTGATTTGTGTCTCTTTTAGTTGGAATAATTAAAGAAAAAGAAACATCTACTTACCGCCTTAGCTACTTCAACATGGAGACCTGGAGCTGTGTGAGCTGTTGCCATGGTGGAATTTGTTTAATTGTTGGAACAATTTAAATGTAAAGGTAATTTTCTTTAATCACTGGATTAAGTGTTTCAATTTAGTTGATTGACTTTGTCAATTTCTTTTCTGTCTTTAGGTGTTAACGGAAAAAAAAGAAGCTTCCAATTTAAACACAAGAGAGATGACGAAAAGTGTAAATGGAAAACCGTTGATTTGAGATTTTACCAGAAGGAATAACAACAAGTTACTATTCATCCAATGTCTCTCTTTTCTCATCAATTTTATCATCTTCTCATGTTGGTAATATTTAAATAGAATATTTGTAAACAGTTACCTTAAAAGGTCCTTCAAAGGTGTCTATTTTTAAGATGATAGAGAAGATAAAGAGGAAGAAGAGGTTAGATTGTGTAGGAGGAAAACCACAGATTCTGTTATGGTGATAGAAAAGAATTGCAATTTTTTTTTCTCAGGTTTGTATGTACATTCATTTTCTTCTCATTTTGTTAACATTTTTCTTCCAATTTACAGAAAGCGAGCGAAAAAATGACAGAGGATCGAGAGGGTAATCAGCAAGATCATCATCATCATCATCTCCAATCATCATCATCGAGCCATTTACTTGTTTCAATGTTCAAAAGCAATAACAACTCCCTTTACTTTTTCATCATCATCATTAACTTAATCCATTATATCAGGTTTGATCTTTAAGTAGCTTCCTCTCACTCACTCTAACCCTCTCTCCCTCTCTCTCTTTTCTGTATTTAAGGTAAACTGACAATGTAATCAGTTAATTTAATCACTACTTTAATGGAGGATAATGATGTCGACAACAATGAAGATTAAAAGATGATCATGAATGCGAAAAAAACTTAACCAAAACAATCAAAGGGAAAAAAGATGAGGATAAACATTTAGCTTCTTCTTACTCAATGTTAATGAGGTAACAATTTTTTTTTCTCTCGTCATCATCATGTCAGTGGTTCGCAATTCTTGACAATCAGCCAAAAATTGTGAATCCAATAATATATGTATTAATATTATCTAATCTGTTGAGGCGAAATATTGATCATTTCATTGAAAAGCCTTCTAGGTATTAGCAGAAACGTATTAATATCAACATGAATTATTTGATTCAATTCTCCACTTCTCTTAACTTGATTTGATTGTTGATTTAATTCCAAGATGAACAGTTATCTCATTTTTAATATAATTCTCATCTGATTTTCTGAATTATTCAGAAGTAAAAGTGAAAATATCTCTTCATCCAACTGATTAAATCAAAATTGTTCATCTTTAACCATCTCGATATTACTGTTCAATCAGAATTGAACATTAACAATTAATCAATTTTCTTGATCAATAATGGAAAATGATTTAACCTAAATTGATTGTTTAAAATATAATTCGTTAGGGAAAAAACAAATTAATTGCCATAGATGAATTATTAATCAAATAGTTTTTATTTTTCTCTCTCAATTATTTTAGATTTAAATTCAATTCAATCCAACAATTGGACCTACTGAACTTTATTGTGTTCAGAATTAATCACCGAAAACATGAAAACAACAATCAATTGATGTTGATGATCAATTTTTGTCATCAAGATTATTGACAATTTAACAAATATTGTGATAGCATCAAAGTTGTGAAGTATCAATGGAAGGACAAAAATTACTATTCAATCCCAGTTATTATATTATATCATCATGGAGCCGAGTTATCATTTCCTCATCTTTATCATCCTCAACATCTACATGATGTTCAGAACATTGAGATTAAAACCAACATTAAACTCATCCCACCACATGAGGTGTTAATACAATTCAGCTGGAATCTGAAATAAGGAAGGAAAAAAAACTACAAAGAAACAAAGGAAATCATGATGATATCTGATGAATCTGAAAAGCTACCTTAATGATAATCATATCATCACACCCGGAAAATGATAATCATTTGCATGAATAATCAACATCTCTCACGAGAGAAACAGAGAGTGAGTCAGGGAGATACAATAATTACCACAATGACTCTAATCCCGAATTCATTTCAAGATACTCATCATATTCAGAGTTTCAATGAGATGAGAAAAAAAGTTCTGAATCAGATAAAATGTATATTATCATGATAATAATAACTTTTCTTCTTATTCTCTCCCGAAAAAACCAGCTAAGCTTTTTTTTCTCTTCTTTTAAATGAAATATTAAATTCGAAAGTAAAATTTTCTTTTTCCATCTTATCAGGAAATTGAACTTTTTTTTCTGTATCAAGAATTTTTTTTTTCTCCGAAAAGAAGTAGAAAAAAAAGTTCTAATGTATAACCAGAGTATCACATACACATGAATTGAAACTTTCTCTCCTTCATGATAACATGAAATTTTAATCATATGAAGAGTGGGAGGAGAAGATGACGAGAAGAAGATTGAAATTGGAATGAAGTTGATTTCAATTATTTTCCAGTGAAAAATTTTCGCTTGACCAATGGTCAAAATCCTTTCGATTTATCTAATATATATTAATGATATCCAGCGAAAATAATGTTCCTCTGAATATTCATGGATAAATGAACTTGGAATTTTTTTTCTCCATCTTCTTCTTCCTCATGTAAAGTAATCATGTTATCTGAGTCTTATTGAATCAACTAAATTGTTATCATTTGTTAACTGATTGAATTGATTGCATTGAATGTTGAACAAGATGTTCAGATGATAGTGATGATCATGATGACCAGAATCAGAATATACTCATGATGGGTGAGTAATAATAATAATCATCTTGACCTTGAATATTTGAATATATAAGTTGATTGTTGACACAATCAACAAGAGAAACACTTTACCTTCATTTAGATTGAAATGAGAAGCTAAAAATTTCTTTTCTTTTTCTGACAGGTAAGAAGACATTCGATACTTATCTTCATCTTCATCATCATTCTAATCTTCATCTCTTATTTTTTTCTCTCTCTCTAGGTTTTATCATCGATGCCAATGGTTACCTAAATGTTTAGATAGAAAAGAATCCAGAACAATTTGAAGAAATCTCTCTCTCTCTCATCATCCTCATCATTTCCAAATCCATGCGCTGTTTTCTTGTTCATCCTCATCTTCTTGAACTTTTCCTCTGAATAACTCAGTAACTAAACTCAGGTATGTTCAGTCAACAACAGGAAAAAAAACAATAAGATCAACTGATAACTTATTTGTAATCATCATCATCACTTTTTTTTATTACATTGAGAAAGAGGTTGAATGATGTTTTCAACAATTTTTGATTATTGTTCACATTTTAATGAACTTCACCATGAAATTGTTCAACAAACAGAGAAAAACTTGAAAGTTTATCATTCAATTATTATCTTATTTTTGATAGTTGATTGTTTAAATAGTGTCAATTGTAATGTTAACACTTTGAATTGAATTTTAATTCAATTACACCAAGAAAATTATACTGATCATTAAGTTGTTTCTTTGTAACAAATTCAGTGACTCAGTTGATCCTTTTTTCCTCTCTCAACATTGATTCTAAACTTATGAATATTATTATGTTATTATTGAAATTGATTCATCATGTTACCCTTAACAATCAGATCATCTTGAATATATTTATCTTCATGTTGATACACTTTGATGATTTTTATCTTCCCTCTCAGAATCATTCAAACGGATAAATACCATGAGATTCATAACATCATCTTATATCATCTTAGCTCTAGATGGATTTGGTTATATCCATGGTAAAGGATTAGCAGTTATCGGTGGTAAGGGAAACCGAGAAGGTATCTTATTGTCTCTGTTTTATTTCAATTCTAAACTTCCACCCCACCCTGATGATCATCAATCTCTTCCTCTTTACTCCTATCATAATAATGATCATTTTTTATCATATTTGATTATAATGTTCATCTTATTTTCACAATTTATCATGTGGAGTATTTTTTGTTTACCTCCCAATGGAATGAATTTTGTATCTGATTCATGATATTGTTTATATTTCTCTTTCTAGTTTGTCCTGATTGCCCTGATAACTATAACGCTGAAGAATTGACCTGGGCCCTTGTTACATTAGCCATTGTAACGGGATTATTTTTATCAATTTGTTTTTGTCGCTTCTATCCCAAGTTACGACAAATGTTTGTTCAACCGGTTGTAACTAATGATGGAGAGGGTGGGATAAGTGTCACCTCCAAATCGTGTCAGTGTACAACTGTAATTCAAAGAGGATCAATTAACCCGATCACTACATCAGCTGGAATGGTATCGCCTCAAGCATTTTCCTCAACAACATCATCTAAAAACATCAACACAACAACAACAACTACAACAACAGCAACCACCTCATCTATTGGGGGAGGTGGAGGTAAAATAATAGGATTAACTAAATCATTAGTAAATGATGCAAATAGTAACGATGATAATTTAAATATCATTCCTAAAGGGGGAGGTAGACTTAGTTTATCATCTTATCAATCATCTTGTGAACCAGTTTTATATTCATCATCTTCATCATCACCATCAACAGTTAATCCTCATTATCAGGCTCTTGTTAATCAACAGCAAAAACAACAACAACGATCATCAACTTCATCATTAATTTCATCCGGAGGGATAACAAACACAACCACCTCAACCTCCCTTCCTCCTCCATCACATTCATCAATTGCTTCATCAATAGCATCTTCATCATCTGCATCGTCAGGTCATCATTTAATTCATCAACAGCAACATAAACATAAACATCCCTATCCAACCCATTCTTATCCCAATCGATCATCAACCAAATCAAGATCATCATCAATTATTGCACCAACAACAGTGATACCACCACCAACAACAACTATTGATCCAATTGGAATCAATTCATGTCAACAATTAATATTATCTTGTCCACAACAACAACAAACCAAGGTTCCAATAGTACCAATAGTTTCTGATCAATCAACTGTTTACACATCACATATTTAATAATACAACAATTAACCATCCGTAATAAACAATCAATCAATCAAATTAATTAGTAAGTGAACGAAAGGAAATATTATTGTAATAATAACATCAAGACTAAACCTCAAACCATCAAACCAATTGTTCAATGAGGATGCGAAAGTTAATCATGAGAAATCAATGGTAAATAGAATCACTATTGATTATCAGTGTAATTTATTAATTTGTTTACTCGAATCTTCATTATCTTCATCTTCATCCTTTATTATCCGCATCATTTTAATTCTATGAGCCATTAGAATGATTCCTTAATTTTCATGAAGAGAATCAACATTTTCCTCTCTCTCTCTCTCTCTCTCTCTCTCTCTCTCTCTCTTCCTTTTACCACTACCTTTACCATGTTCATCTTGATTCAGGGTGATAATCTCTTCCCTTATCATCCACTGGATGACATTCCCCATGTTATTATGAACATCGAAAACCTCTTAACTTTAATTTCATGAGCATTGAAGTATCATGATTAATATTATCTTCCAAATGATATAAAATTAAAGCAAAGAACCTGAGATTACCTTGAATATGTAACATGGCGGGAGAAAAGTTTTGTTTTACCTTCTCATCATCTTCTCTCTCTTTCCCCCTTATCATCTCATCCTTAATCACCATTATCTTCATCGTCTTCATCATGTTGAATGTTATTGTTACAATTATTCATCATCATCATCATCGTATATTAAATTGCTGATTGTTGATTGTTATTGTTACAATCAACAAACCAAGGACCAATTTCATCAACTGTAATCATTTTTGTTTTCTTTTCCTCTTCATCTTTTATCATCATTCATTTGATTAAACACACTCAAAGGATTCCACTTAATCAATGATGTTAATCATGTTGATTATTATACCCAATTGTTGTTAATTCAATTGTTAATCAATTGTATTATTATTTTGCTGGATCACAATTGAAAAACAAACAAAAAACCAAAACAAAACTCAAATTGATTCACCAAAATTTGCTAATTTGTAATCTTAATCTCACAAAAGTGATTAAATAAGATGTTAATTGTAAAACAAATGATCAGCAACAATTAACAGTAAAATTTATTCACTAGTCGCATGTTTAATTAAAAACAATTCCGGATAAAAATAACGGTAAAAAAATTTAATCATCATATTGAATTAACATAATAGGAAAATAACAATAACTTTAAATAGAAACGTAACAATTTAAATCTAATCAAAAGATATTAATATGATTAATATTTAAATAATTCAACCAACATGATTAAGTAATGATGATCATTATTGATTAAATTAATCAAAATAATATATATATTTAATTTAAAATTCAAATTGAAACTTTCAAATGTAAATTCACAATTACAATGATGTATTTACATTTAATTTTTCCTAACAATCAAGTTGAATTGATGAAATTTTTATTCCTAATTTGATAAACTAAATTAGTAATTAAATTAATCATTACAAAGTTAAATGTCAATACTAATTACACCCAAAAGAAGTATTAAATTGTCTCTAATTGTTTCTTTCTATTTTTGTTTTGTTCATCTTTAAATTGTCAATCGATTCAATTTGGACACTTAATCTTAACATGGAGTTTAAATTGTTGACAATTGGAATGCTTTTCTTTCCCACCGGTGGATGTTATTCTTGGTGGAAGATATAAATTGTTACTCTTTTACTGAATTTCAGTAATTTGCTAATACGATTTGTGATACAACTCAAAGAGAATCTCTGAATTTTCAAATCAATGAATAGGAATCAGCAATTCTCACCCTACACCACCTCTTATCCTCTCTCACTCTCAACATTACCCTGGGGTTTGAACATATTTCTTGTTCATCCTCATCATCCTCTGAATTTCTTGCCTTTTTTCATGATATTAGAAAAAAAATAAACAGTTCTAACAAAAAGTTCTGACCTGATTGTTATTCAACAACAGCAACAACAACAATCACAATACACATTTGACAAAAATTTTTGTCAATCTCAAAATGAATCATGAGAATGATGAAATTATTCATTATCTTGATCATTACCACTGGTACATCATTATGGTCATCATGATGAAAATATCCAAGAAATGATTTATGGTCTCATTCCTGATATTGAACTTTTGACCTCCCCTTTTAACCCTTTATTACATATCGATTATCATGTTTCCTCATCATCTTAACAATTTCATCTTTTCCCTTTCTCATAAATATAGAACTGGACATTTAGTGACCAGATTCAAGAGCTGCAAAGAGTAAAATACAAAATTCAATCAACTGAATCAATCTAATAGGAATCACTTTCTATTATCATTCCATAATATTAATAGTAGAGAGAGACTAAGCCTCGAATTGTAATTAAAACTCAAAATGTAATTTATTCATAAACAACTGAATCAAGTTACACAAATTGACCAATAAACAATGATAAAATGGTTGAATCCACTCAATTCAAGATAATGTTGTTGAACTTAACCCTGAAATTTAGTTTTCATGGTGCAAATTTCATGAGTGGAAATGAAATTGATAATTTTAATACTTATCATCTGATTCCTATCGCAATCATGTGTCATTAACATTTGTCATCTTTTCCTTCATGATGATTGAGTAAATTGAATAAATTTCATATCATTTACTGAATCATTTTGTATCAATAATCTCAAGCTGTCATCATGATGTTTATCATGTAAAGAAAGAGAGGGAGAGAGAGATATATATATGTGATTTAATCTTGATTGTCCAACCAAAGTGATATATTTACAATAGGAATTGAACAGAAAAAGTCTCAATAAATTTTGATTCAATTCACCACATTAACATGATAAGTTTTCAATTCAATTTCACTTGGAATCCTTTAAAACCTCTGAAAGAAAATAAAATCAATCAGTAAATCATTTGGTAAACTCAGAACTTTCAGAAACTCAGATTTGTCTTACATGGGAATCTTTTTTAAGTATTAATCATAATAAAAGGATTTACAGTTAATCATCAGCGTCATGCTTGAAATCAGTTTGATTGTTGAGTGTAACTTAAACACTATCAACACGAGTAAATCCACCAAGGTGAGATTTTCATGGAAGGTAAGATTTATCCGGAAAAAGAATTTGGAATTTTTTTCTTCTTCTCTGACGACTCAGGAAGCCGAAAAGAATCGAGATTTTTTGTTCCAATCATCAATCATGATCAATTGTGTGAATTCATGGTAATTGTTATGAACAAGGAGGAAAAAGTTCACTTTCATGAAGTGAATATTCATCGGTAATGATGATGAGAGTTAATTGGAATGATTTTATTACTGAAGTCTAGAGATTCAGATGATGGACTATCTCATGGTCATCATGATGACCCTGTCATCGCCATTGATAAGCTTTTCATGTTATTGTTGTTGTTCATCATCTTCTCTACTTATCATCATATCCACCTTGTCATCCAGTTTCAATTGAGTTGATCATCACTTCGCAGTGAAAATAATTGGCAACTTAAGCTGTGAACATGATAACAGGGGGATTCCTAAAACTCTCAACTCTTTATCTCTCCAGGTAACAAAAAGATAATGATGATGATGAGGAAACATGAGAATTATCTGAACAGCTCAATTTTTTTTCTCTCTTCATGGTGATGAATTTTATCTTCTTAATCTGTACAAAATGACAATTGACAGAATTCTGTATGTACTCTTGATGATATTATCTCTTTCTCAACCAACCTACTGAACTTTTTAAGGAAAAGTTTTCCCTCTGTGGTGAAAATTGAATCTTACTGTTAATAAATATGATTCATTGATGAAATTGAAACTTTCCAACTTTGATTATCTACATTTTTCCATCATGAATTCAGGATGATGATAAAAAGATGCTAAAACTTTTATCAACATGCTAATGATGGTGAATTTTACTGTGGAACTTTTTTCTGATTCCATTTTCGTTTGAATTTTGATTGATCGATTTTAGAGTTTTTTTTACTTGAGATAAACTTTGTTTTCTATGATGAAAAAAATTCACCATAATATTCAAATGTTATCCTCAGATTAATGAATCTGATTCTCGAGTCAATTATTAATGAAAAAGGGTGAAAGTGAGATACGGATAAAGACTTGAAAGTTTTGAAAGTTCCATGATAATATCGAACTAATAATGAACAAATTGTCATTCCAGCTTCGATATCTTTCAGTTTCATCGATCAACCAACATGATTGATCATTGCGAACATTGAAAATAAACAAACATCCAAGAAGATGAGAAAAAAATCAATCTAACTTAAAGGTTGAAGAGAAATAAAAAAAAACTTATTTAAGAGAATTTAGAACATAAATATCGAAACGATAAAACAGATTGAACTTTATTCGTGGCTCAGAACTTTATCCTGAATCTCCCTGATAACATAATCATATCAATACAATTAATGGGGAAATGAGCAACAACTGTGAAGAGCAACAGCCAGGGAACAGAATGAGAACTTTTTTTTTCTTTTCTCTTCTTTTTTTCAATTTCTAAACTAATCCGAACATTTCGAACATTTCGAATTTCTCAGAATATTTTCTATTATATTCCTTTTTCACCATAATAATAATGTAAGAATCCTATGGTAATAATAATCATGATAATAATAGTAATAAAAATCTGCTTACCTGAAGGAGAAAAGATTAAACAAAGAAAAAAAAGTTTCGAATTGAAACTTTTTTTCCTGTAAATATTTTCACTTCCTTTTTTTTCATTAAGATGAGATTTCAATTGTTCAGGGAGAGATTGTTATTGTTACCCTGATTATCATGAAATCGTCTCGATTGTAGTTCAATGATTACGAGGAAGGGGGAGAAATTCACATGAGATTTGAATGGAGAATGAACAAAAAAAGTTCTACATGATTTTTTTTCCTCTTCGAATTCAAATTCTGAGTTTTTTATGGATTAATCCCTAATCCATAATGAAGATAATTTATTATCTAATCAATTCAAGATTTCTCTCTCTCTTTTCACAATCAGTTAATTGTATTATTGGAAATAAATTGCTCCCCAATCACATTATCTCAGAATCAACGAGGTGAATTAAATTTAATCATATTTGTATTCTGATTCCCTCATGATTACAGTTAAATTGTTTCTCATAATCTTATTGTTATATTAATAAGGTGATTGATTAGTTAATTGTTTCCATTGGTTGAACAATTAATTTGGTAATTAATAAGCCTTTATATGTGATATTGTCTTTTATTTATCGACAATGAAAATATTAATCAATTAATTTAGTTAATTGTTATCAGTTGAGTTGTAATTGGCTTTGACACCAATGTCAATCGGATGTTGATTGTTATGGTTTAACAATTAATAAATTGACGTTTTTTCCTACTAGTTAATAAATCAAATAAAGTAAATTAAGTTATTAAATTGTAATACATGAAAATGATTAACTGATTGTTTGTTGATCACTTTAAATGACGATGATCAATTATCGTTATAATTGTGATTAACTTAAATCATGTGGTAATTATATAAAAATCTCATTACAATTAAAAGTCTTGTTTAGTTGGTTGATCAATCTTTAGTTTAACTTTATCTTTGGATTAATTAACAACAATTAAAGAAAAAAAAAATAATGACGAGAATCAGTTTCGTCTTAATTGTAGCTTTGTGCTCACAATTAAGCTCAGGTGAGTTGATTGTTTAGACGAATGATTTAATTGTAAGAAATTTAATTCTAATTTAATTCTAATTGTTTATTTGTTTCGATTTATTTATTAACCAAATCAGCTCAATTCCCAAGCTTTGGTGGTAAGTTGTTGATTTTTTGTCACTGATTATTTACTTTTGATTGTTAATTGTTTTGCTTTAACTTTTACCTTTCATCGGCTTTAGGTTTCGGCAGTGGCTCAGGTCTTGGTAGTTTGGTTCAAGCTGCAAGTTCAAGTTTCGGCTCAGGTGGACTCGGAAGTCTTGGTGGTCTTGCAGCTAACGCTCTCAGCTCATTCGCTGGCAGCCAAAGCTCAGGATCAGCTTCATCAAGTCAAAGTGGCCTTAGTAGCAGTGCCAGTAGTAATAGTGGTAGTAGCAGTAGTAGTAGTAGTAGCGGTGGTCTTAGTTTACCCACCATTCAAGAACGACCCTCTGCTTCTGTTAACCCTGTCCCCTCATTGAGCGGTGGTTATGGTTTCTCTGATGCCGCTGCTTCTGGTGCTCGAGGTATCGCCAATGGAATGGGTTCCTTCATCTCTGGTGGACTTACTGGTCTTGGTGGTGCCGCTCAAGGTGTTGGCGGTAGTTTCTCAAAGATTGTTGGTAATGGTTTAAGTACTGCCGCTGGTGCTGGTTCTGGAGCTGGTCGGATTACTGGAGCTATTTCAACTCTTGGTGCTTTGGCTAATGCCGGTGGTCAAGCTTTTAGTGCTCTCTCATTAATTCCCAAAATTTTACAAGAAGAAGGTGTTAACCCAATCGGTGTTATGGCCTCAGTTGTCTCTTCAATGGCTTCTAACGGTGGAAGACCTGATTTCTCAAGTATTATGTCCGCTCTTCAACAAAATGGTGTCGAACCAGGAACCATGCTTAAAGTATCCGGTCGGATTCTCGGTAATCGCGATCTTATCGCTTCCCTTACCTCATCTATGGCTGATGTTGGTACTGGTATTCTTGGTACTGCCACCGGTGTTCATCTTGGTGGTGGTGGATTAGGATCAATGGCTGGTGCTGTTTCAAACGGAGCCTCGGGCCTTGGTGCTGCCGCTCAAGGATTTGGTAACCTTTTCGAAGGTATCGGTGGTATGGTTACTGATGCCATGGGTCAAATGGGAGGTCGCGGCGGCGGTGGTCGCGGAGGTGGCAGTGGCCGAGGTGGTTCCAGCGGCGGTAGTGGCCGAGGTGGTGCCGGAGGTAACGGTGGCGGTCGAGGTGGAGGCCGAGGCAGCGGCGGAGGTCGTGGCCGAGGTGATGGAGATGAAGAGAGTGAAGGTGGTTTCTCCTTCGGTGGTTTCAATTTCGGAGGTGGTCGAGGTGGACGAGGTTAAACCCTACCCATTAAAAATCATAGTCCTTTAAACAATTAAGATCATCCAACCTCTAATTTTCAGAATTGATCTCAAACAATCAACCCCCTAAACTTTAACACCCAAATTAAATTAAATCATAATAAAAAACATTTCTCATAAATATTGATAATTCAGCCAACCCATGAACCCAAATTGCAAAAAACCCTTATCATTAACCATTAATCAAGAATCAACTAAATTCACACCAATTTTCAACAATTAAACCATTAGATTGGTGATTAATGACAATTCAGTTTCTGGTTCACCAGTTTAATTATATGGTATTAATTGTCTTTGAGTAACACAATCAGTTTGATTCGAAATCATGTCAAGAGTAACAATCCTATTAATTTAACAGAGACATTAATCATAATCAAAGAGTAATAATAACAATCAACAAATTGCTATTATTTTTACGTGAATTTATATACACACTCAATGCATCTTGTTATCTTCAAATTATCATCATCATTACTTCAAACTCAAGTTCATTATTATTTTTTTTCCTCCTTCATCTTATTATATACTTGTTACCATGAAAATCCACCTCACTCCCATTTCCCACTCTGCTCGTTCACCTTTACTTGTAACACTAATGAATAGTTGTCACATTGAGAGTTATCAGATCCAATTGAAATGAATAAACTACTCGAGAGTCAATAACTAAGCCATGAAAATAGAGATGATAATGTTAACCTGTGAACGAAAATGAAAGGTAAATAAATGAACACGAAGAGAAATAAGTTACACATGATTTCTCATTATCAGAACTTTTCGTGCGCATCAAGTCATCATCTCCACCCTCATCTCCATCTCCATCCTTATCCTCATCCTCATCCTCATCCTCATCCTCATCCTCATCTTCATCTTCATCTTTTATCTGGATCATCCGATTTGATCGAATTCATTTTTTCTTAGAACTTTTTTTCTCTATCTCTCTCTCACTTTTCTTACCAATTAATCAATTAAATTGTAAAATTTACGATAAATCACTTGATGATCATGTAGATTCTGAGAGAAAAAATTAATCAATTTAATCAACATTTTTCTTCAGTTGATTAATTTGATTATAAGCGAATATTTTTTTTATTAATAATTCGAAGGTTCAATAAATCAACTCGAATTCTAAATCCATTGATAATTTACAATGATTGAGTTTTGATTGATTGAAAGCATTGGGAAAAAAATTAATCACCAATAACCCTATTAAACAGTGACAATTAAATGAATAATACTCATCAATGTTACCAATTAGCTAATTAAATGAAACAAATGAACGTGACTGAGCTCAAGATAATTGAGAAATAAACAAAAGGCTGAATAAAAAATCGTCGATTGATTGACTGATAATTGAAGCAATTAATTAATTATATTAAATAATCTGAAAGCAATTTAACGATGATTAGTAAATGAAAATAATAAACATTTTGATGACAATTTATTTTCATTGTAATCAACAAAAAGAGGACAATTTAAATGAGATGATTAGGTTAATAGTGATTAAGGTGATTAGGTTAAAGCTGCTTGACCAGTAGAAAGTTAATTTTAAATCTTTTCCTTTCGGTTTCCTTGATTAAATCGGAGCACAGAACTAAATTAACTTTGATTGTAAATAATGAAACAACACTTACCAAACAACTTTATCATCATTATCTTCATCATAATCAACAGACAACAAACTATTAAAAAGTTATATTCAAATGATGAGGAATAATAATCGTCGTTATCTTCATGGAAAGTAATAGTTTTTGTTTATATCTCCAATCGAAATTGAGGTTTTACTTCCGGTTCTTTTCGAGGGACAAAACCCGTTGCAGCGTAACGATGAGAGCGAAAGTGAAAAGTCATCTTCTGTCTTCCTCATCATCATCATCTTTTTTTGATTCTATCAGAATTTATTTCATTTTCTTCGTCAGGATTTTTTTTCTTCTTCTTTTACGTCGCAAACTTTTTTTTCTCTTTCTTTTCTTTCTATTTTTCGAAAATAACCTTTACTCATAATGATAGAGATGAAGACGAAGATGATGATGATGATGATGATGATGATAGACATGATATCCTGAAACTCCCTTTTCTCTTTCTTATGTTTCTTTCTTTTTCTCTTTCTTCCTCTTTGAGAAAAGTTTTTCGTTGCAACGAATTGAAAAACTTTTATCAAACTTTTATTTTTCTTACCAAACTTTCAATCTTATCTTACTGATTGACTTATTGACTTAACAATTAACTTTTGTTGATTTGTTGTTTATTTCATGAAAACTTTTACATTTAAGTGTTTGTTTAAATAATTAACTGATAAATTGTGTTTTAATTTCTCATTGGACTTTTTTTAATCACCAATTAAGTAGCAAAATGGTTGTTGAAATTAAGACAAGTTCAAAGATTAACTCTAATCTACCAAGTATTAAGGTTCAACCTAAAGGTGATTCAAGTGTAATTAATGTTGATCAATCAGGAGACAATCATGTAGACGATAAACAATTAACTTGTTGTAATCAAGTTACATCTACAATTGAATATATAATATTTGATATTCGTTGGGTTCAAGTGATTTATCATTTATCGTTAATTGGAGCAACTCTTTATGGGATAACAAAAGATTCCGTTTTATTCATAACCAATCCCCATGATCCCCAGGTAACACCAAGATTATATACTTGGGCCTTTGGTAAGTAAATGGATAATTAATCCGCCGATAAGATGAGTTAACTAATCTCTCAAGCAAAAGTTATCTAACTAATTCCAAGTGTACGAGTGAATAAAATTCAAATCTACCTGGAAATTTGGGTGAAGATGAAAAGATGATAACGGTAATATTTTTTTAAGTAGAAAAGTAAACACCAGAGATGAACAAGAAAAAGATGATGATGATGATGATGAAAAGAAGGAAAAAGTAACATGGTAACAATAACTTTAAGAACTTTTTCTTCTTCTTTACGTCGTAAACTTTTTTTTCTCTTTCTTTTCTTTCTATTTTTCGAAAATAACCTTTCATCATAATGATAGAGATGAAGACGAAGATGATGATGATGATGATGATGATGATGATAGACATGATATCCTGAAACTCCCTTTTCTCTTTCTTATGTTTCTTTCTTTTTCTCTTTCTTCCTCTTTGAGAAAAGTTTTTCGTTGCAACGAATTGAAAAACTTTTATCAAACTTTTATTTTTCTTACCAAACTTTCAATCTTATCTTACTGATTGACTTATTGACTTAACAATTAACTTTTGTTGATTTGTTGTTTATTTCATGAAAACTTTTACATTTAAGTGTTTGTTTAAATAATTAACTGATAAATTGTGTTTTAATTTCTCATTGGACTTTTTTTAATCACCAATTAAGTAGCAAAATGGTTGTTGAAATTAAGACAAGTTCAAAGATTAACTCTAATCTACCAAGTATTAAGGTTCAACCTAAAGGTGATTCAAGTGTAATTAATGTTGATCAATCAGGAGACAATCATGTAGACGATAAACAATTAACTTGTTGTAATCAAGTTACATCTACAATTGAATATATAATATTTGATATTCGTTGGGTTCAAGTGATTTATCATTTATCGTTAATTGGAGCAACTCTTTATGGGATAACAAGAGATTCCGTTTTATTCATAACCAATCCCCATGATCCCCAGGTAACACCAAGACTATATACTTGGGCCTTTGGTAAGTAAATGGATAATTAATCCGCCGATAAGATGAGTTAACTAATCTCTCAAGCAAAAGTTATCTAACTAATTCCAAGTGTACGAGTGAATAAAATTCAAATCTACCTGAAAATTTGGGTGAAGATGAAAAGATGATAACGGTAATATTTTTTTAAGTAGAAAAGTAAACACCAGAGATGAACAAGAAAAAGATGATGATGATGATGATGAAAAGAAGGGGAAAAAAGTAACATGGTAACAATAACTTTAAGAACTTTTTTCTTCTTCTTTTACCTGAGAATTTACCTTGAAGGCCTTAGCATTGGCATCGAATCTGCTTTTTATTTGTCTACTTTGTGTCTTCTTTTACCTTTTCCTTTCGATCTTGTCATCATCTTCATCATCCTTGTCTTCATCTTAATGTGAATCTTTCATTTCAAGTCCCATTTCTTTTTCTTTCCTCTCTTTTCTTCCTTATCATCAATTCATCTTCATCTTCTCCGAGAAACTTTTTCCTTCTTTATTACTCCATAGGGATGAAGTTTTTAAGATGAAACTCATTCTGATGATGAGAAAAAACTATTAGCATTATCAGTACACTTTCTGTTCATTATCATCATCATCATCTTTTGTTTCATACGAAAATATAACATCTTCAGGTAACGAAGTTAATGTTGAAACTTTTTTTTTGTTTCGAAAATTTTTTTCGACTAATTTTACCTCGATCATTATTCGTATATTTAATCATGATTATTGTCATAAATTTGATTATATACTTTGTAACCAATGAAGCACAATCAAGTTTAATTGTCGTTATCAAGTATGAGATGATTAGTAGAAAAAAATTGATTTAATTGTTCGAGTTTATTATTAATCAATTGGAAAGAGAAAGTAATGAAAAAAAGTTAAATTTTTCCTTTCGATTGTTATATTAAAGTCTAATTGTTACTTTCGATACTTTTGATGATCATTTAATTGCTCCGTTGATTTGATTAATGTTCATTATGAGAATTAAATTGTAACTTTTTCGATTAAATCAATTAATCAAGAATGAAACAATCAGTAAAATAAAAAATTAGAATAAGTTATTAACGATTTTTTTTCTCAGAAATTTTCCCTGAAAATTTTCTCATTTCCTTAATTGTTCAATTAAATTGTCTAATCGTTTGTTAGACTATCACAATAGACCATGACAATTAAAGTGAATCACTAATTACAATTGATTATTGATCTCTTGTTGTAATTATAATATCAACTCATTGATAACCTTTGATCAATGATAACTAATTGACATGAAGTTGATCAACATTATAACAAGATAATCAATCATGATTAATGTTGATTAAATTTAATTCAATTAAGTAAACTGAAAATAGTGAATAATTTATATATAATTTATATTTAACTACAATTATAGTCTAAGAAAGTGAAAGTTCAGTCGAAACAAATTATTAATCAGATTAACCTTTGAATTGATGAGAAAATATAAACCAACAATCAAATGTCGATTATAACAATTAAATTTAATTGTTCACTCAGGTTTCACCTTGGCAATATTTGGCAGTATCGGTCTATCGGCGGGATGTCATCGGCTCTGGTCCCACCACTCGTATAAGGCCAAACTTTTCATGAGAATACTTTTGGCCTTAATGTTTACCTCAGTGGCCGAGGTGAGTTCTGATCAACTGCAAGGTCAAAATTCAGTCCAATCGCTAATCGCTTTGTCTTTTAATTGTTCATCCCAAATTTAGAGTACAATTTATTACTATGTTAAACACCATCGAGCTCATCATGTGTTCATTGATACTCATGCTGATCCTCAGAATGTTCATCGAGGATTTTGCTTCGCCCAATTGGGTTGGCGATTCATGAAACCTCGACCTGAATATCGGACCAAAGTTAAAACCCTCGATTTTACTGACGCTCTTTCCGATCCTGTTGTTAAATATCAAAAGATGTAAGTTAATTGTTCATTAATCGTTATCATCGATCATCACTGATCAATTCATTAGTTTACTTACAAACAAGAAGCCAAATTTTCACTTCCATCAAGTGGCTGATTTCTCATATTGAACTTATCATGAAATGATGGCCATTAAACTGACGAGTCTTCAGTCCATCTCCCTGAGGCGATTCTGTCAATCAATTCAGTTTAGTTCAAACAATTTGATTAACTTTAACGCTATTAATGATCGTCATTCTTTAGTTAGAATCTAAATTGGTTCAGATTGATTACAATTAAGCTCATTATTAATAGAGTACCGATTAGCTTATTGTATTTTCTCAGCTAATCAACATCAATGATATCGATTATTGATTATTTTTATTCTTGGGGAAATTTAAATTTTTCCCTTTTACTTTACAATCTGAATCATGAAATTACCCTGAAGGTATTTCATGTTATATTGACAGGAATTGTTGTTTATACGTTTTCATACAAAAAGATGATGAAAAATTGTCATGAAAACAATTGAAACAGGTAAACAATTTAATTGTCATCTCTTCCTGACCATCACTCGATCAACAGATTAACTTGACAATTTAATCAAAAATTATCAAGTGTAAGTTATTGTAACTAAAACGTAAGTAATTAAGATTAACATTAAATGGGAAAAAGCTGAAATTAAGTATCAAATTGTTAACAATTAAGTTGATCAATGAGGTGAATTCCTTTTTTTTACTGATATATAAAATTTTCCCCATTTTCATTGATCATTATGATAAACATTTATTTAAATCATTTCCGGGTTTGATTGTACTGGTTTAATTACTGATGATCATAAGGTAATAACATCATTGATTGATTGTTTTATGAGATGAGAGCTTATTGTTTATTCAATTGATTGAGAGTGATGTTAATCATGACGATGCCATTGGAAATAATCATCTTCATGATTATCATCGAGAGGATAAGTTTCAGATTGGAAGTGGGAAAAAAGTTCTGAACTCTTGTGATTCATTTTTATTCAATATCGAAACTAATGTCATGATATCTTCATGTACAGTTACATCTGGGTTCATTTGGTTCACCCTGATAATCAATCGTAACATGATGATGATTATCAAACAAGGAAAGATGAGAATAAGTTTCAATATCATCTCGATTCAGGATGATTTTTTTCAGTTCTCAATCTTTTCATCTTCATCTCTCACTCCATGAGTTAAGATCACTGAAACTTTAGTTCAATAGAAATGATAAAGTTCAGAACTCAATCTCTCTCTCTCTTCCTTTACTATTTTCTGAACTCATGTTGCTTTCTTTACATCAAATAGAATACAGTTTTATGTTATCTTCCTTATCATCCTTGTGATGATGATCATTGTGATCATCAGGATGAGGATAAAGATAAATGATGAAAAAAAAACAGTCTCGCTGTTCAAAAATTGATGATGTTACCTGAATGATTTCTGGTTATCATGATAAAAGGTAATACAATGAACTTTCCTGATGGATCAAAATTAATCGTTAAAAGTTACAATTGTTTAGTTTTTTAATCAGATAAAACCAATGACCAACTAATTAATTGTTTCATCAGAAATTTATTTCATCAAATTGAACGATAACTGATAATCCAATTCACAATTGTAAAACTTTTCTTTTTAATTTCTCATTAATATCCCATTTTTTTTAATTCTAATTATAATCTTAGAGATTATAATTGTTACCAGTTAATTGCTAATTCGCAACAATTTAATTGTTATCGCGAAGGATTAGCAGCGCCATCTCGTGATCGAAAATGAAACTAAATTGCTAATTTCGATTTCGATTTCGATTTCGATTCTAATTGTTTTTTTTTCTCTCTCTCTCTCTTTAATTGATCAGGTTTTTCGCTCCACTTGCTCTTATTCTTGGTTTTGTACTCCCCACTCTGATTCCTTACTACTGTTGGGGTGACAGTTTGCTCCACGCTTTCTTGATCGGTGCTTGTACTAAGTCTTGTGGAGTGATTTTCGTCCATGGTCTCCTTGGTTCGGTTAGTCACATGTACGGCCAACGACGATACAATAATAAGATCACAGCTCGAGATATTGGCCTCATGTCAGTGATCGCTGCTGGTGAAGGTTATCACAATTTCCATCACACTTTCCCCTACGATTACACCGTTTCCGAGTTCGGACAAACTTTCAACATCTCCAAACTGTTCATCGATTTCTTTGCACTTTTCGGTCAAGCATATAACCTCAGGAAAGTCGCACCCGAATTCATCGAAAAGGCCAAAAACAAAACTCTCAACATGAGTGAAGTTCCTGCGGTTTAAAACTTAAAACTTTTTTTTTGTCCACAAACTGACAATCAACTAATCAACTTTCCTTTAATCATTCACCTCATATGATAATCAAATTAATCTAATCATCATCACAATCAAATTCATTTTCATTCCAAATCAATTTTCCCTCCTCTGGTTCGGTGGGTTTTTTTTCTCTCCGTCACAATTAACCTTAATTGTTACACTTTCGATTTAACTGAGTCACAATTGCGACTTGTGGATTTTCACTTAATTATTACAAATAAATTGCAAGTTAATTGTTTGAAAATACTTTTGATTGTAATTAATAATATTTATTTAAGACTTAACTTAATAACTTAATACATTTAAATGAGTTTGGTTAAAATTAAATCAACTAGAAATCATAATTTTACAATTTAACAAATAAATTAAACTAAATTGTTGCGATATTTATTATTACAATTATAAGGAAACAATCAATTAATTAATAAGGTAAAGTTTGAAAAAAAACAGGCAATAATTAGTTAATTATTTTTCACTAATTGTTGTTATACTGTTGGTGCAAAATTTTTTGTTTTGTTATCATTAATTAATTAATTAGCACAATTAAATGTTCCCTTGATGAAGTTTATGAGATTTTCAATTGGTTAAAATAATATTATAATTGTAACAATTAACAACTACAATAATCAATTAAATTGTATGAGAAATAAACAAAAGCAACAACTAAATTAACTAAATTAAATCAGTGAATTTAATTAAATTTAGAGAGACAGAAAAACAAAATTAATTATCGACTAAAATTGTTCAACTTAATCATAAAATCAATGATGATTAGTTAATTATTATCATTATTATTATCATGTTATCATTATATTGTAATCAAATCTAATTGTTTGATTTAGTTTGTAATTGAAAAGCAAAATCAAAAAACTGTTGTTGTTGTTGTTACTTGATTAATTAGTTAATTGTTGTTGTTAACATGCAGAGCATTTAATTGTTGATTATTATTATCTAATTTAGGGAAAGTTAATTGTAATCAAATTGAAAAAGGCTTTTCTTGGTGATTTAATCATGATTATCATTTATCATCGTTATAATTGTCGATTCAATTTTGTTTGTTTATTTGATTGTTGTTGAACAATTAACCAATCAATTTAAATGAAAATGCTTTTGATACCCAATTTAAAATAATAATAATAATCAATGAATAAAACTCAAATTAATTAAATTGTTTGGTTGTTAACTAATAGTAATCAATTGTTTCAATCTAATTGTTGTTGTTGTTGTTACTTGATTAATTAGTTAATTGTTGTTGTTAACATGCAGAGCATTTAATTGTTGATTATTATTATCTAATTTAGGGAAAGTTAATTGTAATCAAATTGAAAAAGGCTTTTCTTGGTGATTTAATCATGATTATCATTTATCATCGTTATAATTGTCGATTCAATTTTGTTTGTTTATTTGATTGTTGTTGAACAATTAACCAATCAATTTAAATGAAAATGCTTTTGATACCCAATTTAAAATAATAATAATAACGCTGACAATTAATAATCATCAATGAAATCGTAATTAATGTTAACCTTTAATCAAATTTGGATAAAACTTAATTGTAAATGATTAAAACTGAACAAAAAAAAGTTGGGAATTAATTAATTAATGGTAACAACAATAATCATCATAATGATTATTATGATTTTGATGATGATGATAATGATAATGATAAGATACAATTGAGTTAATTACTAAACGATAATAATAATAATCAATGAATAAAACTCAAATTAATTAAATTGTTTGGTTGTTAACTAATAGTAATCAATTGTTTCAATCTAATTGTTGTTGTTGTTGTCGTTTCTTGAAATTGATTTATAAGTAAAAAGGATGATTAAGTTAATTGTTGCCATTATTGTGATCAGTTTTTTTTTTCGTGTCTTCTTCTTGTTAATTGTTGTTTGCTTGGGTAAAGTTAATTAAAGATAAAATTAAAATTGGTTATTGTGTGTGTGTAATTAAATCGTTGATGATTAAAGATTAGGAATTGATTAGTTTGTTTGTTGGAAATTGTTTCTTATTGTAAAAGATTGAGAGGGAAAAAAATTGTAGCCAGAAAATTGTTCAAGTTAATCATGATTAACTTGATTGATGGTTGTGGTTGTGGTGGTGGTGATGGTGATGGTGATGATGATCAGATGATAAAGATGAGGATGAAGATACAAAGATGATGATTACGATGATGATTTGCTGTTAGTAGATCAATACAAGAATGAATCTGATTGATTATTATAATTCATTCAATTGTGAGAGGGAAAAAAAAGTTTCGAGTTGATTTGAAAATCTCCTATTACCATTAATGTTATTAATATCATTGCAGTTTAAATTTAGTTGTATCATCAGGATTGATTAATCATCAACATCATCAGTAAATATCATCCTTGCCATCTTAATCCTCATCTTCATCTCCATCCTCATCCTCATCATCATCATCATTGAAACCCGTTGGAAACTGTTATCTGTTAGATAAAAAGAAAAGAGAAAAATAAATCAACAGTTAGTTAAATTGTCAATTAATTGCTGGAGATTAAGGATTTACGATTAACAATTGGATTAACGATATGAACATATTGTTGGAATGGAATTGGATTGGAAAATTGATTCATTCTGATGACGATTAAAATGAATAAAGAAAACTGATTACATAAGATGTCAGTTAATTGATAACAATGATTAAGAAAAAGTTAATTATGTTTATCAAAACTCATTAACTCTCTTATATTTATCCCAATGGAATCATTATTGGAACTTTTTTCTTCATCATCTTGATTGTTTCTATTCTTGATTCTTTGTTGGAATCGATAGTAAATAGTGAAACTTAATATCGTAACAATTTCCTGATGATATTATTGAGAAGGTAAATCATTAACTCGATACTTAATCAACACGAATTCTTATCAATGGAAATCAGAATATGAAGAAAAAAAATAAAATGAATGAATTGAAATTCTCACAGAATTTTCAATGTGAGAGATAATTGAAAATCTCTTGCAAATAATAATCATAATCTCGTATTATTATTTAAATACAATTCGGTGAATATGCAAATGTAACATGAATGATATCTCATCATTATCATGATGAATTCTGATAAGGAAAAAAGTTCCAATGAATAATAATCCAATTGAATACCTGGTGGGGGAAAATTTCTCATGAAAATGATTACAATTCATAATAGGTTATTCAGCTTGTATGTATTACTTATTTAATGACACAATTAAAGAATTGAATATGAACATTTTCCTTGGAACTTTTTTTTCCGAATTCCAAATTTTTACTGCAAACAAATTCGAGATTTGATTTTCGAAGCAAATATGAAAAAAGTTCTAATTGTAAACTTTTCTTTCTCTTGGTGTTATCATTTAATTCAATTGTTGTTTTCTCACTGATTATTGTTTTTATTTGATTAACCTAATTTTCTGAATTGTAACTTGATGATTATTAATGTTGTTGATTTTTATTAATCATCTTGATGAAAACAACAACAAAAGCAAAGTTAATTTAACTAAATTACTTTTCAATGGTTAACTAATCAGGAAATTGTTGACAATTTAAATTTTTCATTCTAAATTGTGATAAACAAAACTTTGATTGTTTTGTTTAAAATTTGACCTCATTTTTTTTTACTTGCACATCTAAATCAATTAATCATCGTTATGATCATCATTACAAATTTGTTTACAATTTAAAGTAAATCATTGAATGAGTTTATATTTACTTATGCTGATTGTTAACAATTAGTAGATTTCATTGGTTTAAACGTATTGAAATTTGATATTATCATCATGATTATCTGCTGATTGTTAACAGTTAATCATATATGACATTTAGCTATTGATCAAGTGTTAATTGTTGTCAAAGTTGTAATTGATATCTTTGAGGTTTAATCACCAACAATCAGGTTAATCATAATAATCAACGATGATGAAAATTTATATTTATATTTACTTTCTGATGATCAAGTAATTAGAGTAAATTACTTGGCCATTTAATGGCCAATACCAGAGACAATTACATTTACCCTTAACTGTAATAATAGGAAGGGCTAATCGTGATTAGAATAACCAATTTAGCCTGTTAATTGTTAACATTAATTGTCCAATGATGTTAACGATTAAATCGTTAACTTTGTGTACGACAATCAACAAATTGCTCCTCACTTTGAACAACTAATTGTTCATAGTGAATGATCAATGATTATCAAGAGATAATGATTAATGATATTGATTATTGATTAAGGTGAATTGAGAGTTAAGTTGATTATTAATGATAATCAAAAGTAATCAATATAATAACCTGATATTGGGTCAACATTTGTCTGGGTTGATATTTTCACCTTCATTGATGCTGAATTTTTCATCCTCATCATCATCATCTTGTATAATATTATCATTCATTCAATAGGATGATGTTGATGATATTATCATGATAATCATGAGCATCTGAAAATGAAACGGTTTCAATTCAATAGGCTTTGAGATGTGAATTTATTCAATCTGTTTCATTTTTCATTCCTGTTCATTTTTTCAAGTGAAGATGAATGAAATCTTTTGTGTATCATCATGAAAATTTCATCATCATCATGAAGATGACAACAAAAAATGATGAATCTGATTTCTAATACAACTTTCAATTCATCTATTATATATATCATATAAAACCAGAATTACCATTCAGTTGATTGATTTAATTTCCCGAAGAAAATAAAAATAAACTATCTAAATTTTCACCAAAAATCATCATGAAAAGTTTCAAGACAAGATTAAGATAATTTAATGAGATTGAAATAAGCTGTTACTTAATATTAAAGCTCATTGAATCATCATGATTCTGACATGAAGATAGGAAATGAATATTTTTTAACCTTAAGGTGAAATATTAATAAATCATCACCATGACAATTTGGAATCACATTTTTCACTCATCATTCAAATGTTGAGAAAAACTTTTTAAAAGTTAATTAAATCGATATGATATCAAGAAATTAAGTTAATTACTGTTGGGAGAAAGGTAAGAAACTAATTAACAATTAAATTTGAAATTTCCATTCCAGGTAGAAGTTGATTGGATCTGTCAATATGGGAAAAGAAGACGAGAAAAAAATAATAAGATAATAAAGATGAGGATGAGGATGGAAACGTTTACTTGTCACTTAAGATGAAGTAAAAATGTCTACATAGGAATCACAGGTTCTCATTATGATTATCCCTCTCTCTCTCTCTCTCTCATCTTTCATCCTCATCATCTTCAAAGTGTATCTTTAACATGTTCACAAAAATCTTCCTCCTTTAACCTAATTTCCCTTTCCTGTATTTCACTTACAATTTTTTTCCACCCTCCCAGTAAACCAGAATCTATTGATTTCTATCTCATCATCTTCATCTCCATCTTCATCTTATATGTTAAGTGAGTTACTCAAGCAAAGAAGGTGAATTCAGATAGATAAAGATAAGATTCACTCAGAGAGAGAGAGAGAGAGAGAGAGAGAGAGGCAAATATATAACTCTGAAAGTAAGATCAACGCTGAACCTCAACAGGAATCCTCAGAATTACCCACCGACTCAACCCACTCCCATCAACCAGCATCTCCCATGTTAATATCAATAAGATGAAGAGGAAAACAGTTACAGTTTGATGCTTCAATAGATGATAATATTAATGATGATAAAATATTCAATCCTCACCACCTTCACTCAGGGAGGTTTTCACTCCCAGAAGTAGATTGATTATATTGAATTGATCAAATTTATCGGTGAAAAAAGGATGAGGATGCTAAAAGATTGGCAGAAAAAAAGTAAGATGAAGTTTTTTTTTTCTCGAGCAAAAAAAAGTTTTAATTTCCTTTCAACTGATTTGAAATATTGATTGTGATTAAATTGATAATAGTTTTGAGGTGAAAATAGTTAACATTGAGACTTGTTGTTAATCAGTTGGAATACAAGAAAATAAACTCACAACAATTAACTGATTGTATTATGATTAACTGAAAAGCTTTTTATCACTTGTAAGGTAATTGTTGTATTTGAATTTATTATTTCTCGTTTTCATTGATTAAACTTTTTTTATTGTTAATCAATGTTTCAATTGGTTCTAATTTAATTGTCATCTATTATGTATTTTTTTTTGGAAAATAGTTAATTATTAATGATCAACTTTGGTGAGATAATTTGAAATGAACAATTTAAAATTAACTATTAATGAATAGTCTTGATAATAATGATATTGAATGGAAAATATTTCTAAACAATCAAGTGACTATTAGAGTTGAGTTTTAAATTGTTGTTTGACTAAATTGCCTTAAGTGTTAATTTAATTTTTCTTTCTCTAAATAAATTACAATTTGTATCATGTATTTTTGAGATTGTCATTAATTTGATTGTAAGTTTGTTCAATTAGATTTGGATTGATGAAAATTACAATTACTTGATTAAGTGGAAATACAAATTGAATCTAATTGAATTGATTGATTGTTTTCTGAATTGTTTGTAAGGTCTAATTTAATTCACGGGGATGAGGTACAGCACCCTTACAAAAATGCACCGAAGTAACGATCGACTGCTAAGGCCTAACAATTAGAGCGGCGGTTCATAGTCTGATGACCGTGATTCCGATAGCGCTAATGTAGTTGAGAGATTGTTTGACAATTCGAATCATTTTTATTTAACAATAGAAACACATAGAGAGAGTAGAGGTCAGGTAAATAACTTGAGGAAACGGAAAGAGAGGAAGTAAAGGGATTAACCTTTAGAGTAACCAATGTAAATAGAAAAAGGGTTGACTTAGAAGAGAATGAGAGTAAATCTTCAAGTGAAGTTTAAGGTGAGAAGAACAGGTAAATATACTGAAGGTAAACAATTGTAATTGGTTAATAATAATTGTGCGGGAAAAGAGAGAATTTAAATAGTTAATTGTTTACAATTAAATAATTTGGGGAGAGAGAAGCCTAATCGAAGCGTTTCCCTTACAGAGCCCCCTCACAAAGCGTCGATTATGACCTTAAATAGGTCTAATGACGTTCGTAAGCGTAGAAAAGGCTTCGATCATACTGATAAGGAAAAGGTCGTTTTGATGATGGTTCACCATCAATGAAATCTTCAGAATAATATTTCTGATCCATTAGGGCTTTTTCTTTATCTCTCTTTGATAACTTTGGGTTAACTTTGATAGAATCAGGCCAATCTTTAATTTGCTTTAAAACATCTTTTAAAAGTCCGCCCATGTTGTAGTTAAGAGGCCAATGGTAACCTCGATATCCTGTTTTGGTGAATCTTGGTTTCGTTTGGTATAATTGTAATAAAGTTTGTTCAATTCGAACCATATCAATAAGATACAACCAAAGGGTAAAAGCTGCATCGATGATGGGACAATGATAACTGTCCTGAAAAATTTTTCCAAACAAGATAAAAACACTGTATCTTATTCCTATTGCATCTCGAGATCTGATACGACAATTATAATAATTAGAAACATCCACAATTCGTGGGAGAAAATAATAATGATCTTTGGGTGTAAGAAATAAATCGGATAAATCAGCTATATGACCAGCCAAAACAATTCGGTCATATCTTCTTAGAATTTCAATTACATCCTTTCGAACCTTAGAAAATCCTGGAGCATATTTAACATCATCCCATGTTAAACCATGAAAGACAGTTTGAAAGTCTTTATTTGCTGATGATGGATGACGGATAAATGAATTAAAAACGACTCGATTATATTGATCAATTATCGATATCCAAACAGGTACATTTTTATAAGAACCATTTTTCATTATAATAGTTTGTTTCTCAATGTCCATTGAACAAACTTTCAAATTAAAATATTTTAATTTGTCAACAGCTGATGCGATTTGTTTTGAAAATTTAAAAGGAGGTGACATCAGGTTGAGAGCAGGTAAAGATTTTTGATAAATGATTTCTTGATAAATCTTGGTTCTCTTGTTCTTTTGATTTTTGTTTACTCTTTTGCTGTACTTGGTTCGATATAAAAGTCGAGATCTCGCTCTACCTTTAAGAGTTTGTTTAGTTTCATCGGTATGAGCGGAAGGTGTTTTCGTAATTGGTTTGTAGGTTCGTAGATCACTAAAAACGTAATCACTTGTATCAGAATTATTTGATTGTTGAGATGAGGAAAGAGATGATTGAGAAGATTGTGTAGATTCAGCAGATTGAGTAGATGTTGGAGCAGAAGGAGAAGATTGTTTATTTGATGATGGAATTGGTGGTGGACTTGGGATCCTTTCAATTATTGTTGTTGGTCGATTGGTTGGTTCAATTGACGGAATTGATGAAGAAGGCGGTGGATCGTTCCAGTCACAACACTGATCATCTGTTGGTCTGATAAATGTAAATTTAGGAGGAAGAATCACAGGAGTAAATATTCCTTGTTTTCTTGCTCTTTTATTTATCTTTCGACGAAGTCGAGTTTCCGCTTTTAATGATCGGGAACTAGAAAATGTATCCCAATCTAGTTCTTGAGATTGTTCTTCTTGTGATGTTTGAACTTCTTTTGATGTTTGAACTTCTTGTGATGTTCGAACTTCTTGTGATGTTCGATCATCTGATGTACATAATGAAATTTCTTTAGTTTTATTTATTGCTGTAATTATATCGGTTTCTGATGATGTAGATGATTTAGTTGAACGAGGTTCCAAAGGTGAACCTAATTTTTCGAGGAGAAGTTCATATGATGAAGGTTGAATTAATAGTTTTTCTGGAAGAATTGTTGTTGTTGAGGTTAAGGTTGATGATGATGATGAAGGAACTGGTGAGTTTGTTGGAGCTTTGGTAGATTGAATTTGATGATCAATTTTATTTTTATTTATTCGTTGAAGATATTCTGTTGGTGTTAATTTCTTTCTTGGTTGAGTTGATTCAGATTCTGATGATCGTTTAGATGAAGAAGAAGATGAATCTGATAAATTTGATTCATCGTTATCGGAATACATATTTTTTAATGATTGATCAGCTGTTTGTCTGAATAAGGCTTGAATATCTGATTCAGTAAACTCTTCTTGAGTATTTTTATCGATGAGAAACGATTCCAAATCGTCATTTTGACGCTGATCATCTTTGGTTAAAAATGTTGAAGCGACATTGGTACAGTCGAATTTGAATGAAGTGTTTTGATGAGAGCATTTTTCTGAATGTTGGTCGATTGATAAATAATTGTCTTCGATTTGACAGTTCTTGTATATACAATTTACATTGAGAGATAAAAGAAAATCTCTTTCTTCTTTATCTAAGGGATTTAGTGAAGAAAAACCAACACCATCAGGACCACAGAAACCAAGTTGACACATAAAAGATTTTCCAGTTAATTTTTGTTGTGTCACATTTGGGGTTAAAGGTAAATTTCTAACTGCTTGAGATAAAATATGAAGAAAATAGGAGCAGTAACGGCAATAAAAGAAACCACAGTCGACACATTTCATTGGTTTTCTTGCCAATTGATCACATAAGAGACAAATTTGACTAACTTGCTCTTCTATTTGGTTCTTTAAGGTGAATCCTGGAGTAACATTAACTTTGTCGAAAGCGACTGATAATTGTCTCTCGGTAATTTTGGGGAAAACACTTAACACTTTAAGAGAAATTAACTTTTTAAATTGTCCAACATTTAACTCTTTAATATTGTTATTAGTTTTATTAACCTCGAAAACTTCATCATGTTCATTTGTTGACATCTCTTTGGCCATTTTAACTTTTAGTTCCGAGTTAACAACAGGTAAATTACTTTAACAAGTCCACCACCAATATCCGATGATCTCCGTGAAGGATGAGCACATTCACTTAACACTTGTGGTCGATATTGGGAAATGTTGGGACTGTTAATGTCAGTTTAAGGTAACATTACCTTAATTGTAACATAACAAAGGGAAACTAATGGCTGAGATAGTCGAAGGAAAGATTTCCTTTGTATCTATTTCAGTGTTAATTCAACGATTTGTTGAAGAGGAAAAGGAAACACTGAATATTTAATTGTTTGAACAATTCTGGTGATGTGAAGTTAATTCTGGTAATGTGATGTGAATTCTGGTGATGTGATGTGAATTCTGGTGATGTGAACCAGAAAAGAAAATCAATCAAATCAATTTCTAAAGAGCATTTGAAAAGCACTTGAAGGTTAACTGAAATTTTCACTTGTTAAATTTTCTAATTGATTTAAATTTGTTGATTGATTTGAATTCTCTTTTAATTGTTTAGGGTAATCTTACCCTAATATCAATTAAATAACTAATCTTAATTGATTGTTTAATTAAGAAAAAAAAATCACTTTTTCTAAAAAGAAAAATTTCTAACAGAAACACGTTGTTGTCACATTGGTGGACAAAGAGAAATTAATTGTTCTTTTTGAAGAAGAAAATAAAATGTCTAATTAGACAGAGAAAAAGACAGAGAAAAGAAAGAGAAGAGAAAGACAATAAAATAGAATAGAACATTTTTGGTGGGAAAGAGTTTTCTTTCTATTGCGACTGCGCAAATCTATTGTTCTCTAATTAAAAAGGCAAAAAGGTCATCCGACCTTTTACTTTTTTAATTAATTAATTAGTTAATTAATTTCAATTTTTGTGATTTGAATCTTATTGATTATTGTTAATTAAACGATGCTCATCATTTTGATACTAAATTTATGAAAATCTATCGTATGATTCTGAAAGAATCTCTTGAAGAAAATTTGATGATTTGGTTCAATGGCAAATACAAAGGGTAAGAATTTTTTCTTTGTTTAAATTGTTAATTAGATCTTAATCAAAAGAGTAATCTTACTTTTTGATTATTGATCAATGAACAGATTTTCAAATTGTGCTAATTGATTTGTTTCTATTTGTTTCATGTGTTTCATATGGCGATGAGTTTTGATTGGAAACATGGAAACTAAAATGGAGAATATAAGGTGATGAGTATTAAGTTCAAATTCGTATCGTTTCTTTCTTGTCTTTGTTACTCAATCAAAAGTCGTTTGACTTTGATTTTGAATTTGCTCAACTTTGAATTTAAGAATTAATTAATCAATTTAATTTAGAGATTTTTAACGATTCTAGGCTATTTAAGTAAATGATTGAAATCGAATTTGAATGAAAGGAAAGAGAAGAATTGGATTGAAGGATTGACTTAAATGTGGATCTTAAAAATTAAATGTGGATCCTTGAGGTTAACAGATTACTTGTAGAGATTTTCATTTGTTAATTGCTGGTTTAATTAATGATCTTGTTCCTATTGTTAATTATTGAATTCGAAGTTGTCAAATTTTTCTTTTGTTTTTTGTTTAATTTATATGAATTTTTACTAATTCTTGTTTTAACTTTGTTTCTCTATTCAGATCAATAAACCAACGGAATTAACAGTTGAAATTTTGTCCACAAGGAAGGAAGTGTAAAGAATGCATAAGAGTCATCTGACTCTTAGCGATTGATTGGTACTGACAGGGACAAAACAATGGTCATCTGACCGCTGTTTGTTTCTCAGCTTTTCATTGATCTTTTTATCGACCAAAGGGTTGATTTGTTACCTCGTAAATTTGTCAATTTCAGAGTTATCTGACTCTGGATGCGATTGATGAGAACTTTTTCTTTTAAATTTAAAAGAAAATAAAGAGAAAGAGATGATTTGAAAAAATCATTTCTGTTTCTTGGCTTAATTAGGAGAAAGGAGAGAGAGAAAGAGAATGAATTAATCAATTAATTATCTCGGGTGTTGACTCGTCAACATCATCTTCTAGATTTGTTAAATCTTCTGTCTCTTGAGTTTCTCCAGCTAATTTTAAATTCTCATAATTAACTTTGATTCTTTTACCTTTCTGATTAACAATAAGAGCAGCTGAATCGTAAGTGTCGATTACAATGTAATCGCCTTTATAAGGGGCTGTTAGCTTTTTACCTCTGAGAGAATTTTGAATTTTAACATTTAAAGTAACTTTATCACCTATTTTAAAAGGAAGTGGTTTGGGTTGAGTTAGATCAAGTCTTGTTTGCTGAGCCATAACCATTCTTTGATAATTGTCTTTTCTTAACTGTTGCAGTTCTTCAGGAGAAGTTGTAGTAGTTTGAATGTCCAATTCATTCAACAACGGGGTATTAGGCAATTTTCCAAACAAGAGATAGTAAGGTGAGGTTTGAAGATTCTCAGAGTAAGCTGAATTGTAGCTTAACACATGATCAGTGATCCACTGATCCCAATCTTTAGGTAGAACAGTATACATGTTTATCCTGTTACCAAGAATTCCGTTGAGTCTCTCAATTAATCCATTCGATTGAGGACGATAAGGAGAAGTAAATTGTAATTTAATTTTTTGTTCATCGCAAAACTCCTTGAAAGCGTTTGACCGAAAACATGGTCCATTGTCAACTTGAACTGTGTTCGGATGACCAATGAATTGAATTATATATTTTAAAAACTTGATAGCATCTTTAGCTTCTTGTTTTTTAAATGGTTGAGCGAAAACATATTTAGTAAAATAATCAACTCCAGTGAACAAATATTCATTTCGTTGAGTTGAGGAATGAAATTTTCCAACAATATCTATTTGTAACCTTTCCAGAGGTTGAGTGGGAATTGGCATCTGATGCGGTCTGTGGTTATTAACTGTAGGGTGTTTAAACTTTATACACGTTTCGCAATTAGCGATTTTGGACTTGAGCCATTCGTCCATTTGAGGGAACCAAAATAATTCTTTCATCCTCCTTGAGGTTGATTTGTAACCAAAATGACCACCGATTGTTTCAGTATGCATTTCCTTGAACACTTTATCTTGCAATGATGCTGGTAACACAATTGTTAATTTATTTGTTGATGATTTACGATGAAGAATACCATGTTTCATTACGAAGTGTTTTGCCAATAGACCTTTTGCCAATTGTCTAATTGTTTGTTTAATGTAGATATCTTTTTGTTGTTGCTTTTTAATTTCAGAATTATCGCTCTCATTAGATTCATGATCGTTCTCACCATAAATAATGAATTTAGAAATTAATTTATCATCAATAATTTCTGGTTGACCGATTTGTTCACCAATTTCTCTTGCAATTTGTTTAGAAAACAAGATCCATTCTTGTTTGTTTTCATCTTTGATCATTTGAATATCATCACAATCGAAATTTTTAATTAGCGATTCTTCTTTGTTCATCCAATCGTGATTATGAATGAGTTGATGAGGGACTTGATGCAAATCGTTGCAAAGAACATGACAATTGTCCTCATAGGCAAATAGTAGATATTTGTAATAATCTTCTTCGTTGATTTCTCCAATCTTCTTGTGACGCCATTCACTTGATCTGGAGAAGCAATCAGCAGGATGAGTATCTCCTTTAGCATATTCAATCTTGTAATCGTATTGGGACATTAACGCAGCCCATCGATGTAATCGAGCGCATTTAAAATTGATCTTTGGCAAAGCACAAAGAGCGCAATGATCGGAAACGATCGTAAATTTTTTCCCACTTAGATAGTGTGAGTATTTATTAACAGCGACAATAACAGCGAGACATTCTTTCTCTGTTATTGTATAAGCAAGTTGATACTTAGCAAGTTTCTGTCCAAAATAAGAAACTGCTCTCCATTCATTGTTTTCCAATTGTAACAACATTCCACCGACAGCAATTGATGAAGCATCAACCATTAGCTTGTGTTGTGCTTCAGGTTTAAATTGTGATAACATACAGTCTTTGATAAGAGCATCTTTAATCGTTTGCCAGGCTTTTTGATGATTCTTATCCCAGGTGAATTTACCTTTATTCTTCTTTGAACATAGTTCGAAAAGAATTGATGCGATTGTAGCGTAATTAGGAACGAATTTAGAAAGATAATTGAATAGTCCTAATTGACTCTGTAGACCTTTAACATTTTTAGGGGGTTGAAACTCTTTCAATCTTTTAATTTTTTCTGGATCAGGACGCACTGATTTACCACTAATTATGTGTCCCAGAAACTTCACTTCTTTGTGTCCCCATTTGCACTTGTCTGGCTGAACTTTCAAACCGATTTGTTTGATTTTGTTAAAAACAGCATGAGCGTTGTCGATTAATTCATCGAAAGTTTTTCCAAAGATGATGATGTCGTCGATATAAGCTAGACAGGCCTTGTAAAGTAGATCGCCAAAAACTGTGTTGACAAACTGTTGAAAATAGGCGGGGGAATCAGCTAATCCCATCGGTAGTCTAACATATTGAAATTTTCCCATTTCCGTAACTAGAGCGACTTTTTCTCTTTCTTTCGGAAGTAACTCTATTTGGTGAAAGCCTTGAGCGAAATCGATTGTTATGAAATATTCATATCCGGCCAATGCTTGGATATGATCTTCGATATTAGGCATAGGGTAGCTTCGAGTTTTCATTATCGAATTTAAATCTTTGAATGATGTGACTAATCGATAATCGATTTTATTAGGTTTTTCAACAAGAAAAGCAGGTGAACCTCCAGGTGAATTCGATGGTTCAATTATTCCATGAGCCATCAACTCTTTGATCTTTTTATCCAAAATTTCCCTTTTCATGGGACCAAGGCGATATGGGTTGCATTTTGGAATGGGATGATTACCTAAATCAATTTGAATGTTGATCATTTCAGCTGGAATACATCCCAAATCGTATTTGTGAGTTGAAAAGACTCCGTGAAATTTATTTAAAAAGCTGATCATTGATTGTTTTTGTTGATGATTTAAATTAGATGAAACTCCTTTAATGATTGTTGCTTGTAAATCGGAAATATCGGCAGGGAACTCATCTTTTCGTAGATCTAATTTTGCGTTTTTAATTGCTTGATTATACTGCTCATCTGACCAGAGGGCTTGATTATCATGTTGGTCTAATTTTTGAGGTGACTGTTGATTATTATACAATGGTGAATGTTGATTAGTTGATGAATGTTGATTGATTTGTGACTGATTGTAATTGAAGATCTGTTGATTGTAATATGAAGATTGTTGTTGATTGTGATTGAAGGTTGATTGTTGATTAGGTGATTGTTGATGTTGGTCATTTATTGGTGATGATATTTTTTGATGGTGAGCCGAATGAGAACCAAGGTCATATGACCTTGTTTGATTTGGCGTATTTGATGATTGTGTTGAGTTTGATGAGGAAGAGAATGGACTGTGATTGTTTATTTTCGCAGTAGAGTGGGTAATTCTCTGCTGGGC